GTTTTCTCCCCAGATTCGTTCATTTACAGTGATCGTTTTTGCCTCACAATCCGACGTTTTTTCTCTTTCTTTGCTTTTCCTGTGCGATTGCCGTCATCGATTCTGTTTAAGCGCTAACGAGCCAAATGCCCATTCATCCAGAAAAGCTCTAACTGTATGTGACAGCCACTGCAGAGCCACACACAGCAACACACAGCCACACACAGCCACTGCAGAGCCACACACAGCCACACACAGCCACACACAGCCACACACAGCCACACACAGCCACACACAGCCACACACAGCCACTCACAGCCACACACAGCCGCACACAGCCACACACAGCCACACACAGCCACACACAGCCACACACAGCCACACAGACGTATGGATCTCTGCTTCAATGACACTATTTATACCCCCACCGAGCTGGGAACTAGTCCTATTTAAAAGGGCTGTGGACAGATAGACATCACTGTGCACAAGGTATATAACCAAAACATGTAGAATTTATTTGAGACTGGTGCCAATCGTATCACAGAATAGACCTATTGGATTGTTCAGGCATAAATTCTTGTTTTGTATTTTCTTATTACCATTTCTTGTTTAGTGAGTACCGTATGCATGTTCTCAGGTCTCTGCACTGGCTTCCTGTGGCTCAGAGAATAGACTTTAAAACAGCTCTGCTTGTGTACAAGTCTCTCCATGGCCTCGCACCAAAATATATTAGTGACATGTTAGTCCCATATGAACCAGCCCGGACTCTGAGGAGCACAGGGACTGGACTCCTGTTAGTGCCCAGAGTCAGAACTAAACATGGGGAGGCTGCTTTTCAGATTCATGCTGCTAAAATCTGGAACAGTCTTCCTGAAGATGTGAGACAGGCCTCCTCTCTGACAATGTTTAAAACCAGGTTAAAGACAGTTCTGTTTAGCTGTGCATACAACTGAGGGATTTTATATTTTTATCTTTCTTTTTAATGTACTGTGATTATTTATGATTTTAATTTTGTTCAGCACTTTGAGTTGCCTTGTGTATGAATTGTGCTATACAAATAAACTTGCCTTGCCTTGCCTTGTCTTATTAGGATGTTGTCAAACATATCAAAAGTCAGATCTCAATTAATACTAAAACTAGTATCAGAACTAATGGCTGTTAAATGGAATTACCTAAGACAACGTTTGCATATATTTAGCATTTATCAGAAAAAAAACATGCACCTTGTGGTCTCACCAAAAGTATTATTATTTCAAGTTTAATAAGAAGTACAGCTTTTTGTTCAAAGTGAGCATTTACAAATAATTGCTGTGGTATCCGAAATGATATCACGCTTTATGTTAATGCTCCATGTGTTTGGATTTTTTTGTGTGAGCATTTCGTGTGTATGTTAATGAATACCTTTCATCCAACACTGTATTTAATTACTCGCCTGCACGGTTGTCTACACTTGCCTCTAAATTAATTTTCATGAATATGAGTTTGTGCCGTGTGCGTCTGTCCCCTTCAGCTCAGAATGATTTTACCATTTCATTTGAAACGATGGAAGTTGTTGGAAGTGTGCCAAACCCCTTTTGAAAACTGTGTTCATGTGTTATTTTGCTTCTGTAAACAAATGGGTTTTACAGGAAATAAAACAAAATAAACATCTTTTATGGATTGACATGTGACAGTGGACACATGTTGTTTGGTTTTACGTCCACAAATAAAGTGGTTAAAGTGAACCAGAAGAACGGGTGTGAAGATAAGATGAGCTAAACTTTGAGAATAGGAAAAATCCGAGGCACTCTTGACATTTAGATAAAAATCCTTTGTGGCTCTCATGCACGTGCACAGAGGGGCTCGGCTGCGCTTTGACCAATCAGAGCTGCTGATCAGAGCAGTGATAGAGCGGAGCCAGAGCGGGGAAAAAACGAGCAGAGTTTGTGGCAGTAAAGTGTGGATTTAAAAAAAAAAACGAAGGATTTAAGAAGAAAAAAAGTTCTGGATGACAAGGGACCCTAAAATCCCCAATACGATTTTTATGAAAGCTGAAGGTTCTCTGTCAGCTGAGGACGAGCTGTTTTAATTTACATTGAGTTCTATGGAACTTTTTTCTGGGTAGCCCTTGTGAATTAAGTCTGCAGTACCACGGGCGCCCCTTGTGCCCATGGGTGGGACAGCTATAAGCTAGTAATGCGTGATCCACACACAATAATTAAAAGCATTCAGAAACTAAATAGATATGCAATAGACGAGTTTTTGGGCATTTCCGGTTTACTTCCGGCTTTTGTGTTCTCATTTCCGGTTACGCTCTTTTACGGTTTAAAAACGTTATTTTCCTTCGTAAATTATGTCTCTTAAATGGAGACATTCGGCGACATTTCTCACGAAAGATGGAGTTTGTACAATTCCCCATCCATCCATGATAACGACTTGGGATGACAACATGTCTAAATGGCCGAAAATCACCACAACAAAAATATTTTCGTACTTCGTAGACTCCATGGCTGAGGATGGAAATGCGATCAACAACCTGAAGAGCTCGGAGGCATATCAGTACCTTCATAGTTAACCTTGTTACATCTGTTGTGTTCCGGTCAAAAGTGACCACCATAGACAACACACACACAGACACAACACACACACCACACAAACAACACACACCAAATTAAGGGGCGAGAAACGAACACGACTTAAAGGTTAAAAGTAAAAGACTTACCGTGAGAACTTGAGGCTCTATGAAAGCCGGGGTTCCTCTCAAGTTTACGTCTCTTGCGCTGGGGAGGACGCTTGCATCCCAGGAAAAGTTCCGAGAAAGGATTTTCCTCAGTGGGCTTCTTGTCCACAAAGTGATAGGAGCAAACATACACTCTTTTAGGGGGTTTCTTCAACTTTAAAGCAGCTAGCCACATCCTGGACTCGTTGTCAGCTGTTGGCTTCAAAAACAAAGCAAACGGTGGAGCACATCCACATCGGCGTCTTGTAGCTGGTCGATGATCATAACATTCTCCTTCCAGCCATACATTCAAGCGTTTCCACGAATTTGTACAACCACGGACCGCACAATATGATCCACAACCCAGTTTGCGTTTTCCTATATCCATTTTAAAATCCTCAGAACTTGGAATGATCCTCCCTCTTCGGTCTAAACTGCAGTTGTGTAAGCCGTGCCAAGCGCGAACCGGAAGTGAAAAACAGCATAGCGCTTCAATGGCTGCGCCCATGGTTACGCCCAAAAAACTCGTCTATAGGTGCAGATAGATGTGTAATTTCAAAAGACATTTAGGTGAGGATAATCAACCAGACACATAATTCAACTCCACATTAACATACTCAGAAATAACCTCTTAAAAAGGATAAACTTTATAGATCTCACTATGGCATAGATGTTAAAAAAGGATATATTATGTACAATAAAAAGTATAAATAAAAAATAAAAAGTGGCTATAGCAGTGCAAGGTTTTTTTTGAGTTTCTTTGAGACAAGCTAAAAAAAGACCATTAAAAACCGGGTTGACAACATCCATTGGTCAATCCACTTGTCCATGTGTCTGTCTTTATGTAAAATCCTCCCGTACTCACTATCATGTCTTCTGGCGACTATATAAAAGAGCTAATGGTGTGTGAGAAAAGTGCTGAGCCTTTGGAGAAATGTTGATTTATGGCTTCAGTCACAGTCCAATCCAATACCTTTGTGTCTTCATTCAGGTGCCGTGTGCGTGTCTTTGAGCCTGTATTAGTATGATTTATCGCCTTGGCAACAGCGGTATTCTAGCACCCATCCAGCCCTGACTCACTCGGCTAACGGCTATGCATATTTAACGCACAAATTAGAACATAAGTGAATGCCTGATGAGGACGATGCACATGAGGACCTATATATAAAACATCCAAAGCGGAAGAGGTTTTTTCATTGGACACGCCGTGCTCTGCGTATCAATCAAGTTCAGGGGTTCTCAATATGAGGTGATGTCAGTAGGAAGTCCATTAAGTGGTTTACCATGTTTACCAAGTCTCTATTTTCAATGTGTAAGTCTCTATCTAATGTCATTGGGGATTTTAGGGAAGCCTGAGGAGGAGGGATCTTTAAATTTTAGAACACAATCAAGAAATCATGACGTATAGGGGATTTTAGATTGTTGCCTCTACACAATATAAAACGTTTACTACAAAAAAGGCTGGATTTGTTATTTATCCACATATCCCTCTTGTATCATGTCTGCTGAGGTTTTGTGGAAATGTAAGCTGCTTTTTAAAGGTCCTCTATTCGTCCCACAATGGGGAAATTTCTGTTTGATGCATACACATATACGTGCACATATACGTGCACATATACATACACATCAAGGCAGGCAGCGATTATCACTTCCGCGCTCCTTATAGGCAAAGTGGGTTAAGTGTCTTGCCCAAGGACACAACGACAGCAGACATCAGTGGCAGTCGGTAGAGAAGGTCTCGTGGTGGGCTTGAACCCACGACCTTTGGGCTGAATTAAAGTTAGTGTACCTAACTATCAAACCACAAAACATGAAACATATGCGTTTTACTTTGCTTGCGTTTTAAGACGTTTTCTGTTTGGCCTGATATCAAACATTTACTAATTTGTTCATCCCAATATTTTCACTTCTGCACACAAAAAACATAAAACAACTTTCAAATAGCCGAGATTTAGTCTGGTTTTAATCTCTGTTAAAGATGGGTTTTTTTACTCCTAGTTTTATTAGTGTACTTAGCACACATGTTTATATTAGTGATTTTAGATTTTACTTATTTTTACCTGCACAATTGTTTTGCCCGTTGAGCCAAAGACAATTCTTACTTACAATGGCAATAAAAATAAATGTAATTGTGGGTCCGGTTTTGAGCGTTCTCCTTATTCCGTCACAATTTAGTCTCTCAAATGTTCCCAATCATATTTTCTCAATTTTTCCCCCATATTTGTCGAGAGTCCAGTTTGGTATTTGAACAGTCTGTACTCCAGCGTTTTCCGTGAATGCTTTGCCAAAACTGATCAATTTTGATTTTCTTTCTTTTTTGCAGCGAGAAGAGGAAGCTTCAGGTCAACGTGGCCAGCCCCATCCAGTGCAGCATGAACGGGCGAAAGTGCACCATCATCGTGGAAGCCAAAATCAACCAATCACAGCCCGACTTCACCAAGAGCCGCGCCGGGTACATACTGTCCGTGCCTGGGAACTAACAAAACGCAGGACAACAACAACCACAGATTTCAAACTAGGCCGAGTGCGATAACAATGATTCACTTATGATTCATGTATGTATGAGAGGTTGCCGGAAATGTGACCACAATAGCCAACTGTGCTAATGTAACCTTTTATTATGCGCCAAATCTATAAGTCAAGCAGCTTCGACAAAAGTCAGTCTAGAGTCAGTTCTGTAAAAGTTTGAAACATCAGGCATAATTTTATAACTCATTGTAGGGAGTTGAAACATGTAACATTCTGGTGCAAGGTCTTCCATCTGCTTGTTGCTATGCAGTTGCTATGGAGTTGCTATGGATTATGCAGCCAAGCAAAATGATATGTCAGATCTATGCAGCGCAAAAAGTGAGGAAAAAAAAGTCAGTAAGTTGCTCAAATTTGGCAAAATGTATCTTAATTTGAGCACATTTTTTCTGCCGAAAAAAAAAAATTTGCCAATGGGAAAAGAAAAATTATCTTGTTTTCAAAAGATACAAGAAATGTCTCCCTTGAAATGAGAAAATGAAGCCACAGTTCTTGAAATGACTAAATAGCTTTGTCTCATTGTCAAATCTGGTTTTAAGACGGTCACAATGAACCCAAAGTAAGATGAAAACCACTCGATTCAAGCAATTATCACCTCATATCTTAGCATTTTTTGGGAACATGTATTTTTCAAGGTATTCAAAAGCAAAGAACGTACTCATTTGTAAACGTATTATACCGTAGATTAGTTCAATGCTGAATATTGAAATAATCAGAGTTTGTAGTTGAGCCGTTCTGATCCAACCGACCAAATGTTAATCAAAATCTATTCATATGCAAAAGTAATCAGCTGGAATAACTTGTAAAACTAGACGGCTGGTCATAATGTTATGCCTGATGTCGTGAGCTGAGGTTAGAGTTATCCACTTTTGCATTCTGAGAAACCAAATCCACAAGTTTTGCAGGAACATAATCTATCTATGATGCAAAGGTAATGAAAGCATTCTTGTACATAAATGAATGAAGATCGAACAAAAGGACTAGTTGTACCTGGACTTTGTACCTGGACGGTAGAAGAAAGAAAATAATCTTATGTGTTTACGATCACATATGGGAAATTGAAATATAATGCTTTGATTTATTTTTTTTTATTTTTTATTTTTTCACTATTGTAAAGTCGCAGCCTCGGATGTGTTGAGCACAATCCTTGACTCTGCTTTATCGCACACGCAAAAAGTATATATATATTAATTTAATTTCCGCCTTTACTATATACTGCTACTATCGAAACAAGTTAAACTAATTAAATATTTAGTAAAAACGTGTTTGAGCAGAACTTGACTCCTTTGAGGGGAATGAACAAAGACTGTTGTGGGATCCTGATGCCATCGTGTTTGGGGCCAGTTCAGTGTAATCAGTTTGTTGTAATGTGTTTTCTTCGTTAATTGAATCGTCTAATGACTTCTCTCGTTTGTGGGAAAAGCTTTTGATTTGACACATTCTTTTCATTAAAACAAGCAGCAGAAGCAAACAAAGAACAAGGATTTAACACGTTTAGTTTCACAGGAAGCTTGGCCACTACTGAAGCACTCCAGTTTTCACATCTCCAGAATGTTTGGTTTGCCCTTTAATCCAGAACACACTTTATTTAGCAGTATTTGACGTTATTATTTGTATTTATTACAGTTATATTGGCCTGTTCCTTTTTGTTATTTCCTTTTTGTTCACAATCCGTCCCTAACTTCACATCAACCCCACATTAATCCCATTCTAGAAACTATTTCCAAACAAAACGATAGATTTCACTGATTTCCAGATTTGTTAAAGTTTATCATATGTTTTATTTAGTTTATTTATACATCAGCTTTTCGATACAGTGGCTTTCAAAAGTACTGATACAACTAGAACTTTAGACATGTTTGTGACCACTGCAGCGGTTAGCACTTGCCATCACAAGAAGGTCCTGGGTTTGATTCCACCTGAAAACGCCACCTTTCTTTATGGAGTTTGCATGTACTGTCTGTGTCTGTGTAGGTTTCCTCCAGGTGCTCCGGTTACCCATACCACTAAAAACATGGTAGGGGTAATATTCCCCCCTAACTTTGTCCTCGTTCCTACTTTCGCCTCCTGTCTGGGGCCAGGACTCCCTTCAAAAAGAGATTGTGAAATCTCAGTGGGACTTTCCTGTTTAGATAAAGGTCAATAATCAAAACAAACTTGACTTTTTAAAAAGACTAGAACAAAGTAAGAGACTGAAGTAAAAACAAAATGATACATGATTTGCAGTAGATACTTTGTGAAATATCCTTCAGCTCCGATCACAGCAGCAAGTTTTTTGGGGTAAGTCTCCACTAGCTTTGCACCTCTAGAGACCGACAGTTTTGCCCTTTTGTCTTAGTTGTTCTTATGTTCGTGATTTTGCAAGCCACTGTACTTCTTTATATTATTCTGTTATTGTCAGATATGATTCACCTTTAATCATTGTCATATTATCATCACATCATGCATTATCATTGTCAAAACATTTTACTGGCGATATGTCCAACCCTTTTACTTCAACCCTAAAACCCCAGACTTTTTTTTTCTCAGAATGTCCAATATTAACCATCCCCTCAAACCATCTCTGAGCATCTTGGCAGGAGTAGTGGCCCTGGGATCTCTCTCCGCTCTCCCCTGGTGTCTGTCCCAGTTGCTATTTCTCTCCACTTTGCCTCCGAAAAGCGCAGGTATCCCAAATCTTAATCAGTATAATCGCCATCCACCACGCAGCTGAGCAACCTTGTCCTTGTGTCTTTGTGTTGCTAAAATGCTGTGGGTTATCGCAGTAATAATGGAGAGATTGGAATGTGCGTGCCATGGATAGTCTTTCTACCCTCCGGCCTTGATGCGCTCCCATAGGCCTCCTCTCCTCTCTCCCACCACAATCATCAGACAGGACATGCGTATCTCTCTTCAGTGAACCTTACAGCGCTTTGTGTCCGGAAACCAGTGTTGTGTGTGAACAAAAGATCTCTCACTCACTCCTAAACAAAAGTGGCAATACTGTTTAGCAAATCAGTATTGAAGAGCCAGGCTTAGAATGGGATAAATGTATTAAATTGCCGTCGTAATTTCCATAATGTTGCTTGGTCAGGGGAGCGCTCTTCCCACTAACAAGCTTTTCCTAATTACACTTCATAAAGCAGACTGTGCCATTGTGTTTGTGCCCATTTATAACTTGAAATATTGTTTTTTTTTTCCCCACATGTGTTTTTTCTGTTTGTGCCAGCCAAAGCGTCATCCTGTTTTGTGAGTTCATACAACCAAAAAGTGCCTTATGTCGCGTTTAATTGTGTATTTCTGTTAATTTGCTCAGTGTTTGATACGATGTATGTAAACAAATCATTTTTGTTTTTGTGCAATTGATATCCACCATGTTTCAATAATCGTTTCATTAATAAATCTATTTGAAGGAGCGACTGTCTCTGGTCTGTCTTCATGTCTTCCTAATATCATACAAGTGTGAGACCTCAGCACTGGTGGTATTTCAACGGCTTGTTTGCAGCTGTTTGGACGCGGATCCACAGTTGTCTGAAAATTCATTCGACACTCCCTCAGTTTGATGTCGTCCACTTTCCTGTTTGCACACTCACCTTATTCCACTGGAGCAAATGTAATCCGCTATAGTTATGTACCTCATTTGCTCTAGTACACATTCCTAATGAGTGATTATGACTAATTACCTATCTGCTATTGCATGCTGTAATTTGCATATACTTTACATGCAAATTATTTGAATAATCCTGCCTGGCCAGTTTTCAGCCTGTGACACACTGGTGACATGGGCTGCATCTGTATTCAGGAAAATATAGATTAGTATTGATTTGGGGGCATAACATTTCACTTTACTGGCATTAAAAACGTTGCGAAAGGTGTTGATTATCACTTGACCAAACCTGGAACTACACCTGTTGTAAAAGGTACATTTTAAATGACCAGGACAGATTGAAAAGGAGGTGTTTTTGTTACATTTGGATGCAGCCATAGCCTTAATTTGTCTCTCTAATGGCACTGAGACAAAAATTATTGTCTTCACTGTAGACAGTCCTGGGCCCACAAGGTTCAGACCCAGTTATAAACATTGAAAATAAACATCAGCATTTACAGATAGTTAAGTAACATAGCTATTATTTTTTGCATATATTGTGTGCTCCCTGTGTGCTCTTACTACTGTCCTGTCTGTGCGCTGCAACATCAAAATTTCCCCACTTTGGGACGAATAAAGGGACTCTTATCTTATCTTAACCTTTAAAGTAGCATTCGTAGAGGAAATAAATGAAGACACTGCCTCGCCTTGAACGTTCAGTGCATTTTATTTTCCATCACAGTACAAAAATAAATAAAATAAGCCCAAATGAACTGAAAAAGAGGTTTAAGTTACAGCAAGAGCTATTTTTTTTTGTCTTTTCTCCAAAACGTATTGAACAGACACTCCCCATTCCTCCTCTGCTTTGATGCCGATAATAAAATCACTTCACACATTTGTTTCATAAAAGTAGACACAGCCACTCTCTCACACACGCGTCCTGTCTCTTATTCTACAAATTACGAGATACAGAAAGAAAGAATTGAATCTTTTAACTATTAGTTTAATCTTTTTTTTCATCATATTTATTTAAGTATTCAAAATGACCATTGAGTGATGTCTGTGTGGAAACTAAAGGATGGCATGTTTCACTGAATTTGACCTTTTTAATCCCGTCTTCCCGCTTGTGTTTCAGCCCGTCAAAACTACGCTCCCATTGCCTTCTGTTATAACCAAGCACGCTGCCATTTTGAATGAATGAATACAGTACTGTCTAAAAGTTAGGTAAGGATTGTATGGTTCAACAGAAATAGCCTTTAGGAATCCTTATTGCAAGTTCATGAATACATTTTGATATTTTAGCACAATACTGTACTGCAGGGTGATGAGTTGCATTGATAGTTATTCTTGTCAAGGTGAAACTCATTTAAAACTCAATCTCACATGAGTACATTTCAAAATCAATTCTATGAGAAGCTGCAGTCCCCAAGCTTTAGAAATACAGTGTTTGATGATATCTCAATGTGTTGCAGGCTGCTACACAAAAACACGTCTGTTTTACGTTTGTTTTAACTGTGCTTTGTCCTTGATGTGGGAGACGGCAGGTTGCCATAGTTTTTCATGTAGGCCAATGTCGCAAGGAAAACTCTGGGTTATTTTCGGCTCAAGTCTTGCCTTTGGTGTCATCCAATTTTGGAATTTATGGATAATTGTTCCGTTGTACAACCTTCATTCTCACCAAAAGTAGACACACTTAGCCTCCTCATCACAGTCCATCAATCTCTAACTTTCATTTACCACCAATGTGCCCAAACAATAAATACATATGGTAATAATATAAAAATGTGTTGTATTACTCGATGAAAATCCCTTCTCTAACTTGATATGGCACTGTTTTAACATTTTCTATGCTGAAATTACATGAATCATTCCCAAATGTATACAAAAAATGCAACTGAAATGTTCTGGTAAACCCAACAGTCTATTGTAGCAAGCTAAGCTAAATAAACAAATGTCACTTTTGTTCACAGCATTCTCTAAAAATGCAACTCAAGTAAAAAGACGCCAAATTTTGGTAAAACTGCATGGCACACGTGCAAAAAACATCTTTACATCTTTAAATAAATAAAAAATGAAAGAAGAGCAATAAATAAGCATTCTCCTTAAAAAGTCAGTTTTGACCTTTTGGGAGAGTGAAACATCCACTTTTTCTAGATGAAAATAAAGGTCTCTCTAAACAGTATGAATTATGATGCATACTGTAAGATCCTCGTGTGGTCAAAATAGTCCGACAATGTTTCTGATTATCCATTTTGGCCACTAGTCTGTCCAGAGCTACAAACAAAGCCACGAAATACAGCAGATCTTCCTCAACGGGCCGTCCACTTCCGGGCCAGATATGCCAAAAATGTGCCCATGGTGGATCCATGGATTGAAAGAGCAGAAGAAGGAGGAGGTGGTAGAAGTCTCAAAGCGGAGATCGGATCATCCTGTAGTGGTCAATCAGGCTATGGCCCTCACCCTCCTGCAGGGGGCAGTACAACAGTCACATGGTCACTGGTCTGGTCCAAGCAGATCAGTCCACATTCATTGCTGTAGATGTAGTTTATCCCCCCACCCCCCTTTTCTAATCACTATGTATAATATTGATGAATAAGTGTGAATTAAGAAAAGAACGTAAGTCTGGCATTTCTGACTGTCAAAAAGGCTTCATTTTCAGGTCCATTCCTTTGGGAATTTGGCATTGAATTGGAAATCCTATTCAGTATTGTATTGTCTGTACAGAGAAACAAATTGTGTCAGCTTTGAAAGATATGTTATAACATTTATATGAATCTAAATCTTGGTTCTCAATTTCTTGTACTGTAAACTGCCTCCAAACAAAAGGGCACATTTGTCTGATTCATTTTAACTCGACCAATTCTGTTCCACTTGGGGCTAAAATGTCATCAGTGGATGTAAAACCATCAAATAAGTGAACCTCCAGTCACTTAAGTCAGTTTACATCTGTTTAAACAGATCTGTTTTACCACAAGTGAACAAGACTCGGTTCAGTTAAAGTGAATCAGACCAAGAAGTGCTGTTTAACAATTTCAAATTCATATCAACCTATATTCAGATTACCATCATGAAGGATGTCTATAGATTTAATCCAAATTACAATCTCTAGTGTTTTATGAGCTATGTGGTCTGACAAGCCGCCATCGCTTCAACAATATCAATAACAATAGAAATATCCACACACTCCAGCCCAAATGCCAGACTAGCGTACCCCAGCCCCGCTATCACCCCCAGGCATCCCCTCACCGGTCCAGGCCGATGAGCAGACGGCTTCTCTCCTCCTCCTTCTGGCTCTCGTTCTTGAGGTCGGCAAACACCTGGGTGAAGTAGTGCGGATCCGAGTTGATCTGCAACATCTTGGCACTCATCAGGTTTATAATGGAGAGGCAGCGGTCCCAAAATGTCTCCTTGGACGACTCTACCAGGAAGGGCTTGAGCGGGTAGGATATCTCATTGCCCATGTAGGAGTAGGATAAGTAGAGGCAGGTGAGCAGCACGGCTTGGAGCTCATGTTCGGTCGCCAGTTCTGAAGAGACGACGTCGCGGCACAACATGTAGACGAAGACAACGTTCGCCGGCGTGATAAAGCCTTGGTCTTGCCAGCCCTGGAGCAGGAGCGAGCGGTCCACACTGCGGAGCCACAGCACCGGGTCAGTGGGAGAGAGGTGTTTGAGCCGATAGCAGCGTCGACATAAGAACTCCCCCAAGCATCGCAGCAACTCACTGGTGGAAGCCTGGACGATCACCCTCTTGGGGGTCCCTGGTGCCACATTGGAGTTGGTGAGAGGAGCCTTTTTCACTGACGACACTGTGTTATTGGAGTTTTTGTTCAGCGATGGAGTGCTCTGGTCCTGAGTGAAGGAGGACAGGTTGGCGCATGACTGGGACTTCTTCAGGTTCTCGTTGTTAAGGTGTGTCACATTGTTTTGGTACGTGGCGTTGGGTTGGACCTTCTTGGAGCCTTTCTTTTTGGCCGACACCGCCACTATGCGTTTCCACGGCAGGACATTGATGAGCGAATGGCGTTTCAGATTCTTGTCTTTGGCGTTCTTGCTGTTCTGGACGGCCGTGTAGTGTCCCACAGTCGCGGGCCCGTCCTCGAACAGCGCCGCCTTACGGTAGCTCGGAGACAGAGACAGCACGGTGCCCATGATGGCTCAGTGAAGAGGGATGTGTCCAGGGAAAAACAAGGAGAACCTGGGGTCGTAGAGCCTCGTCCCGGGTCACAGGCGTGCACAGATCATCTAAAGGAGTCCAGACGATGTCCGGGTGTGTCTGCAAACGTAGCACATGGATAAGTCCTCCAAAGAGCACACATCAAATACATAGGCGTACATACAATCTCCTTTACTGTCTGCAGTCGCCTCATTAACGTGTGCAAAAGTGCTCCATCTTACAGAGCCTCGGGCATATAACCAATATTGATTTGACTCAGTAAGTGGTAGAATGGATCAGCATATAACTTAACCTAATGAATTCAGACGGTATAGATCCCCTTGTGATGTGCACATTGAGCAGGAAACCATCTGACTCTGCCATCCTACTGGAGGCCTCTTTGCATACATATTGTTTGTCTATTTTTGTATTCTCAAAAATATGTCTTTTGGAAATAAATGCTAAAACGATTACACAGCCATCTATAAGCTTACATAGAAGACGACATCACCATAACATCCGTGCATTTAAATGTCTCTCACTGTGCATGCATATATATTTAATATGAAAATCCATATTTCATAGCAATGGCCGCCAAGCCTGAGTGAGCCAAGCACCACCCCCTTCACCAAAATGGAAGCCTGTATACCGTAAACAACAATCCAGCACAGGTGAAGGTCGAGCTGGTGCTTTTACTCTATTCTGCTCTTAAGAATAAAGCCTACGGCCAGAAGACTCATCTCGTTTGACTAAAAGAGCATTTATTGACTTCCAGAGTGAATACGTGTTTTCAACGCTGCAGTCCTTGTCTATACGCACAATTCCGTGTTTCAGCAACATTATATACAAGGGGAAGGTAAATACACGGAAATATCTGATCCAATAAATAAGTATCATTCTCAAGTGTCTTTTGGCCATTTTGCTATCATTCTCTAATAAGGCGTCCCCCACCTCCCCTGATTACGAGGCTGTGGCTGTGTACAACGGGAGCTCTCCAAGGTACCGCAAGTGAGAGGAGCGTCAAAGCCTCACTGTATGTTAGGCGGTGGCTTTGCCTTTTCAATAACATTTGATTTAGATGAAAAACCGAAATTATATGGATTTGTTAAGGATGGGCGTGATATTAATGACACAACGGTCTCTTTGGGTTGTACTGAGGAAAAATCGTTATATTTAGAATCCCAGTGTCTGTCGAACCTAAATATAGTTGGTATACAGGACTGCAAAAATGCGATGCAATAATGACAACAGAAATATACACAACCCATATATTGATACGGTATGGGTTTTTGGCTACTGTACTCACCAGATCTGTTGCTCACGATGATGCGATGCCTCTTTCCAATCCTGTTTTTCCCCGTAAAAAAATAATCTTTTCCAAGGAAACTCAAAGCATCTCGGTGGTAGATGGAGAAATAGTCCGCTTGGAGGAGCGAGCACCGCGCCTGTGATGGTGCACAGTGATGGTGCACAGTGATGGTGCACAGGGCAGCGCGCAGCAGCGGAATGGATGCTCAGATGAAGTGTGGTCCTCGGATGCTGAGGGACTGCTGCTGTGAGAGCGTGAGGCAGAGAGGCGGTGGAGGGGCGCCGCTCTGCGCTCTGTTTGTGCTAAGTCTTAACACCTAACGCACAGGCAAGCAGGTCGAACCCAGTGAACCCTGAACTATATACAATTGGCCTATTTTTGTGTTGTTTGTTATTGGCGGTATAAAGCGGAAGTGCCGTTTTAGCATTGACCCTATCCATTATATAAAACAGTGGGTCAAATGAATACGCTTGATACGTAGGCGAGATAACGGCCCTACACAATATGAATGATATTTATCAGTCTACTAATTCATGCATTTATTTTATTTACATTTTTTCTAGGGACACACGTGCAGACTTACATCCGGTGCAGACCCATGACCCATATGAATAGCTAAGAATTGTTTGATCTATATCTTATTTTGCAAGTTCCAGTTTGTCCAATAGGATATTGCAATTAGCGCGTTGGCCCTATTTTAAAATAATTGAGTTTACGTATGCTCACAGTCAGAGAGCAGCCGTCCTCCTGTGGACTCACCATCTGCAGAGGGTCAGTGAGGGGCTGGTGCTATGAGACTTGGGTGGCATCTCTGACTGCCACCCCCCTGACCCAGAAATGGATTAAAGGGTAGAAAATGGATGGATGGATGGAGTTTACGTTACATATTTCCTCATGTTGGTTCACATGGCCGGTCGTCATTGTAAATAAGAATTCTCATTTGACCTTCCCAGTTTAGTAAATTGAATAAAGGTTAATCCCATTTTATATCAGGTCATCGGATTTGTCATAACGACCCCCATTATGGCCTTGTTTGTTTTCTACTACAGAGCGTATGATAGCGACTACAGTTCCCAGAAGTCTCTCGTTCCCTCGGAGCGAGTGGCGCCCTGACGTCACGGCGCTAGGTAACGTAGTCTGCGTACGTAGTTTTCATTCAGCTGCATTTGAATAAGGAAGATGGCGGCTGCAGCGGTGGTTGAGTTTCAGAGAGCACAGTCTCTCATTAGCACGGATCGCAACGCCTCCATCGACATTCTCCACTCAATCGGCAAGTGTTTTGTTGTTATTTTGAGCAAGAGTAGATGTTTCGGGTCTGGGGTGACTTTACGGTTGGGTTTTTTGACGGACGGGAAAGCTGCTAGCTCCAGTCAGCGGTACCGGTGTGTGCCGTGCTGACTCACTGTACAACGGAGAAGCATTCAGCGCTGGTTAGCTCGTCGGCTAACTTTAGGCCTGTGTTGTAATGACCGTCACAGAGTTATACCCAGTCTTTGAGGGCGATAACTGTGATGATATTATTATGTATCACGTCTCGTTCGTTCATTATGTCAGCGCTTGTTGAGTTAAAGGCCCTTAGCATGGCGCTGCTAATGCTAGCCTGTTGTCAGTACCGTCTGACAGTGTCCTACTCTTATATCCTCAACTAAATGAATAGATTTGAGTCACTTGGGCAAATTTAACGTGGTAGTGCAATGATATATAACTTCTATTCTTTCCATGACCTTTTTTAGCAGTTTGTTTGAATAACTCAGACGACAGTGTCCTCAAATTGCCTTGTCACACTAGCCTCCAGTTGCTGTCAATTACCTCACATGACAAACCTAATGTTTATGTCTTGTGAAACAACACATCCTGAGCCTGTATTTGTTTCTATGAACAAGTAATGCGTAAAGTGAATATTGTGTATCGTTGCCAAAGTGCTTTCACACCTGAGTTAATGATTACTGTCAATGTAAATAAATATGTTCCAGTTGCAAGCCTCAAAGCTGGATTGCTGCAAATGACTAATTGGATGACATTTTTTAAATTGTATGTATTTTTTTGACAAGGACAATGTAATTATACATAGTTACAGCAGGAAAGATGCAATAAATATTGTGTAGATGATGCTAATTTTCAACTCCTGTCCCTGGTTGCATTTTTCCCTACAGTACAGTGCAACACATTATACAAAATGAATAAAATGGACAGCCCTAAAACACATTTACAACATTGATCTAACTTTAAGACATCCACCCCACCAATGTAAAGATACAGACAACACACATTCAACAATCTGATTTAATATATTGTCAATCATATTTTAAACAATCATAATTTTCATGACTACAATAAAGATATCTTGGTTAAGAACTAATTATTGTGCATTGTGTACAGTGAGAAGAGATGTCCAAGAGAACGATGAGGAAGCTGTCAGGGTTAAAGAACAGAGCATCCTGGAGCTGGGAACACTCCTGGCCAAGACGGGACAGGCTGCAGGTGATAATTTAATCCACATCATATACAATTATCCTTGTTCTTTTAGTGTCCTATGGAGTTTATCAACCTTGTACTGTATGCTTGTTTTAGAACTGGGAGGCCTGTTGAAGTTTGTTCGGCCTTTCTTGATCTCCATCAGCAAGGCTAAAGCAGCAAGACTGGTGCGCTCTCTGCTCGACCTCTTTCTGGACATGGAGGCAGCTACAGGGCAGGAGGTAGAGCTGTGCCTTGAGTGCATTGAATGGGCCAAAACAGAGAAGAGGACCTTCCTGCGGCAAGCTTTGGAGGTGAGCTACTTTTAAAAGTCTAGTTTGGTTTGAGGGTACGCCTCTTAATATGATGGATTGCATTAAATACAGCATACAAGCTGATTGTGCACAATATGTGGGTCGTTTTCTGGCTCATTTAGAGAGGCTGGTGTTAAATTATGCTGAACAAAGTAGCATTACATCCAAACAGAAGCTAAGTAATTGAGGCTTCACTTTTACCTGAAGAGTTGATTAGTTAACTTTGAAATATTTTTTTTAAACCGAAGCTTTAAAATGTGTAGAAAAGGTTCAGGTCTGTTTGGGCTTTGCAGCTCAGATTCCATTCTAACTCCCTGAATTTGTTATTCTTTCAGGCACGTCTGATTTCACTCTATTTTGACACTAAAAGGTATCAAGAGGCATTGGCACTTGGTAGGTCGGCTTTCTTATTCCTTTTACTTTCGTTCCTGTGTTTTGTGTTTGAGCATATGGCTATAGTACTCATCATATCCTCCATCCCAGGTTCTCAGTTGCTGCAGGAGTTGAAAAAGATGGATGACAAAGCTCTGCTTGTCGAGGTTCAGCTTCTGGAGAGCAAGACGTACCATGCTCTCAGTAACCTCCCCAAGGCCCGCGCTGCCCTCACCTCCGCCAGAACCACCGCCAACGCAATCTACTGTCCACCAAAGCTCCAGGCAGCTCTAGATATGCAGTCAGGTCAGGGCCCTTTGCGAAATAGTGTGGTGTAAGCTATTGTGATGTGGTTTACTTTGATGTTAATTGCAGTTTCTGTTGCAGGGATAATTCACGCAGCTGAGGAAAAGGACTGGAAAACTGCCTACTCCTACTTCTTTGAAGCCTTTGAGGGTTATGACTCCATCGACCACCCCAGAGCCATCACATCACTCAAATACATGCTCCTCTGCAAAATTGTTCTGAACTCGTAAGTTACTGATGAAGTATTTTACTCAATTCACTGATTTTATGTTTTAATATGGCTTCATGTGGTTAGTTGATGAGCCAACCATCTAAACCCACACCATGTTCTCTGGTTTTTAAAAAGACCTCACCATATGCCTGCTGCATGTCTCTTGTTACTCAGGTGTTGCTCATTTGCAGATCAACCATTCTCATGTCGAATTATGTTACCTGGACTGGAATAAGTGGCACAGAATCCAATAATTTGTTGTTTGTTTTGTAGACCAGAGGAGGTACAAACCTTGATCAGTGGTAAACTAGCGCTGCGATATGCTGGTCGGCAGGTAAATATTATTACTATGACTTACTTTATCTACTGTTTCCTATACTCTCTTGCAAATGATAATTGTATTTTTTTATATTACAGACTGATGCCCTGAAATGTGTTGCCCAGGCCAGTAAGAACAGATCATTAGCAGACTTTGAAAAGGTGAGATCCTTTCTTATCTTCTGTCATTCTGTCACGATATCTTTCTCTTTGTAACTGGTTGGTTTTGCCCAGGCCCTAACAGAGTACAAAGCAGAACTGCGAGACGACCCAATCATCAACACACACCTGGCCACGCTGTACGACAACCTGCTGGAGCAGAACCTTATTCGAGTCATTGAACCATTTTCCAGAGTACAGGTACAAACATATGATTCTCATGTTTTTAGTGTATTTGTTAACATTTCGAACATTCAATTTGCTTTGCAGATAGAACACATATCCGGTTTAATCAAATTGTCAAAGGTAAGTTGAAGTCGTTTGTTTATTGTGGTGTTTTTTATTTATTTTTTTTGAAACACTTTTTAATACTTGTGTTGCCCTGTGGCTTTAGGGAGATGTAGAGCGGAAACTATCACAGATGATTTTGGACAAAAAGTTTCACGGTAAGTAGACACACAATCTCACCATAGGTTTGAACTACATTTCATTCTTGATCTGTTGATTCATTTATTTTTCTTTCAACGTTGCAGGCATTCTTGATCAGGGTGAAGGCGTATTGATCATATTCGAAGAACCCCCAGTCGACAAAACGTATGAGGCAGCCTTGGAAACAATTCAGAACATGAGCAAAGTCGTGGACTCACTTTACAACAAAGCAAAGAAGTTAACATAGGTAGAAAGTAGCCCAGTTTCTTGTTACTCTCTTCTGAAGCTATTCGTGATTGTAACACTTTGAAATATGTTATCCACAGACAATATTACTATGTCCCGTTCGATGGAGGAACTGTGTGTGTTTGACCAGCGTGTAACATTTTATGACGGGGACAAGGGAGAGCCACAACGTCCCATGAACTGCTACAAACAGAATTCCCCCTATGGACAATTTCATCACCCATTTTATTTCTTTTTGATTTTGATTTTTCAGGATTCTGTAACACTCAGCGGCCACCTCAGGCCATCAGGGAATATTGTACAACAACAATAAAACTATTCAAAGGTTTAAAGAATACATATATCTCATGAGGGTGATCTTCGCTACAACATTGACAGCCTCAAACTCTGCTACTGTTGTAAAGAGGAACATGGCTTTTCACTCAGAAATATCTTTCAGAAGCACACTGCTCCATTTTGGAAAGTCGGGATACTTCTTTTGGATGTTGAAATCTTGTCTGAAGAGCTTCCTCTAGCTCCATTTCATCTCCATATCAATGCCAACAGTTCAGATCCCACTGTATTTCAGATATGTATTAAACACTTTGTTTCGGATTTGTGTTTATTTTTGTTTTGTTAATAATTTTTAAAACAATCTGAATGGTTGCCACATGTCCTGCCCCTGCTTGTGTAAGTTTATATAAGAAACAGGATGCCATGTCACCACCAGTGCCACTTTTGGGCACTAGTTTTGTTGATTGGTTACACAAAAGGTCAGCTGCAAGGGTGGTTAGCCTCTGAGCTTTTGTGGAGCATACCCCAGTGCACGATTCTCCATCTTTAGTTCCTAGCACTAGTGTGGTATGCTTTTAACCAAGCAGTATGTATGGTTTTGATTTGGTTTCATTTTATTTTTTGATTTTGTTTCTCTTCTAAAGGCATTTTCAAAAATAAATATTTTGTATTTTAATGACTATGGTTCTTCATGTTATTTAGTAGTTACATTGAATTAGCAATTCTTTACGGTAAAAGAATGACTGGTTGATATTGTGAAATACTAGACAATTATATTTTGTTCTAAATTTATCAATTTCACCACATAAAACACATACACAGGTCCAAGACCAAATAAAATAAGCTGTAAATATCTTAACAAGAATGACCATCTCAACGAAATGTTCATTTAATAAAATTGCTACTCCAGAGGTTCATTGTGCTTTTTCCCCTGCAGCATGGATGTGACTTTATAATTATTAATATAAATAGTGAATTATTTGACAAGCATCGCCAAAAACATCCATAACTATTTTTGTATTAATAAAATAATAAAGATGCCACATGTTATGAAGTGTCGTGTACGTGATGACGTGTCCACAGGATGTCCCGCCCCTCTCAGCAGATCGCACTTGAACCAAGGAAGAAAACAACGCCAGAATGTCCGCCAGGGTAAGGGAAACACACTATAAACTTGCTCAACAGTATTTAGCATCGTTTCCGAGTGTCATGTGTCTGCAGCTGTGGCAGAAGAAGCGGCATTTGTAGAAGCAGTGAGAGCAGACCTGTGTGACGCCGCCATTCAAAACTCCAGCAACCATCCCGGAAGTGGAAAAGTGAATCTCATGACCAAATGCTAACATATAAAAACTGCAGATATACGTTCTTAAATCATTCCACATTTACTTAGAAGCCTCCTCTTACAGTAAATATTGTGCGGCCTGCTGTATTTTCATGTAGTAATTTTTCTCAGTAACTTTTAAACGACACAATGAATCCAGCACCATTTTTTTTACCAGTTTTACAAGCTAAGCTACAGCCAGGAGAGGAAAGAAGGAGGAAGTTAACAGCAGTACAACGTCAGCGGATTTTGCAAATGTAAATAAACTGCGATGTGCACCATTTAAAATAACCATCAGGGAACGGCAGATATGATATAAATTAAAGCATTAAGCATTATTAAAGATATAGATAATTATTTGTCAAGCTTTGTGGTGGGATATTTTTCCAATGTTATTTGTTTAAATGTATTGGATTATTACAATTATTACAAATGATACTTTTTCTTAGGTCTTATTTCTTTCCTGTCAAAATGCCATAATAACATCCAGTCGTATCCTGGAGAAACTCATTATGAAATAATTCTGATGGTAATAGGGCAGATGTTTCATAAACTTGGTGACATCTCCATAGGAACAATAATTAGAGATAGATATTACGCAGCTATGGCAACTGTTTCCTCCCTACAAGCATACACACATTCACACTAATGATGAGTTATATTTCACTGGTTATTATGATAATGCTTTTCTTTTGAAACCTGCACTTTTATGTTCATTTACAGATTATGCAAGTGGCGAAATGCCCGACTGATGAACTGTCACTGACCAACTGTGCCGTCATCAATGAAAAGGAGCAGTTGGAACAGTGAGTGTGGTAGATTTATTATTATTATTATATTATTATCACATTTGTTGTTTTTTATGACATTTCAAATGGCTTATCTTCACATATGAAGCATGCATTTCAACAAAACCCTCGATTGCAAATGCATACAGATATACAACTTAGAACAACCTCCTGCTTTTTGTGGCCATGTGTTGGAAAATGTGCATCAGACACAGTAAAGTAACCTTGAAATCTTATCTTGTCGATATAACTTGCCTCCCACAGAATGCTTCTTATACAAAATGCACAATTTAGTTTATTCTAGCAAGTGACCAGCAGATGGCGCTGATGTTTCTATAATCATTCCATTTATAACAATGGAAACGAAAGTAGTAGAAGTTTCATAGTGCACCTCAGTAAATAAGTAACTTTGAAGTTTATTTTGGAACTCATTTATGAAAAGTGTTGTGGGTTTGGTCTGTCATGCTAATACATACTGTTAGTGTTATGTGTTCACTTCTCAGAATCAGAATTGTATTTATTTTAAGTAATAGGATGTTACAAACTATGGATTTTCTTTATATTTGGTTAACAGACATGTGGTTGTTCGCAACGGTGCGCAGAAGTTTGTGTTCACATTGAAGACTCATCCGAGCATGAGTCCTCAGTCCATCGGCTTCAGTCTGCCGCAGGTAAACCAATACAGCAATTCTTCATTAATTTTGTTTCCAGATCTTTTAACTTGCTTACTAAAAATCTACCTGCTCTACCTTTTCCAAAGTTTGTTCTCTGAAGTTGTTTTGTGTTGATCTTTTGGCATGGACTGTGTGTGTCGCTGCTTTTCCTCTCTCACTTTACTGTCTCTGGCTGCTCTTCCTTCGTCTGCAACAGCTTCCAGGTAAAACTACTGTAACTTCTACAGCTTTGCCTTTTTCACATTTTTAACATTGTATTGTTTTTGTCAATTATCCCAACATCCGATTCATATCATACTTGTTTATCCTTACTGTCTCTGTCAGGAGTCCACAAACCGGCAGTTTTTTTTTTTTATCATAGATTAAAAGAACTTTACTTCAATTCAATTACATTTATTTTGATGTTGCCTTTCATAGTCGTCTCTGAGGACTTTACAAAAATGTTGATTAGCTAACAGCAGAGTGCATTAGAGTGTCAAACAAAACAAAAAATGCAATAATAACAAACACGTAGAAGTCATTGGTCCATAGGCAGCGTGTGAGCAATGTCTGTTGTTCATAAAAGTACATTTGCTGCAATGACATCAGAAACCTCTAGAAAATGTACAAATTCTACCATACATTTCAAATCTTTCCTAGATCACAGATTATAGTGACTGTTTTTCACTCTCCACACTTTCATGATGGACCTTTTTCTTTTTTCACATTAGAATCATGATATTTAAGACTGAGCGTGACTTTATTCCTGTGTTTGTTGACAGAGGAAATGGGCGGTGCTATCCATCGGACAAGAGGTCGAAGGTAAATATTACTACTGTACATACAAGATATACAAACAATTATTCACAGAAATAATGGTTTGAAATGGTATTGGATAAAGCAAAAAGTATTATTAATTCAATCCCCTATTATATTACTTTATATTGTCCACCTTTTTTGTTTGAATTTTATATTTATTAATAACAAATAATGGGACTGAGCTCGTCAAAATATTAGGCTTGTTGTGTATATTGTTGGAAAATGCAAAAACGTCCTATTTTATGTTATTTAATATTTCCCACTTTTGGAACACTAAACGTTTTTGCTTATATCTGTGTGATTTTGAGAATTCTCTGGCTATGAGGGTTCATCTATTCTTCAGTTGTCATGTAGATGAAATAGCCGACTCTGAGCAGCACTTTGAACATAATACCAGTAGGTGGCGTACTTGCTCATCAGTCGGAGAAGTTGGCTTGAATTCAGAAAAGTTCTCTCATTCTGACAACGCTTTTCTTGCACCGTCGCTAAACCAGGCGAGCAAATTGTGGAGAGAAAATGGATCAATAATGTAAAGATGTTATATATGTTCACCTTAATCCTGTGTGATGCCACTTTTTTTTTGGCTTTGTCGCTCTGAAGCCTGTTGGAGAAACTCATCAGAAACGAGTCAATAAAACATTCCTGAAGTTTAATAATACAATAAATACATCAAAACCAAATTATAATCTTTGAATGGGAACAAGCTTCTCAAAAGGTTGCTGGAAACTGGAAGATGAAACCCATTAACAATGTTTTCAAGCTTCTGTTTTAAGATAAGATAAGAGATAAGATATGCTTTATTTATCTCACAAGGAGAAATGTACATGTCACGTTTGGCATGGATAGAACACTCAGATTGTGCAAAAGGAGGAAATGTGCAAACATGTTACATGCAGGATATATATGTACAATAAAAGTGGCAATTTAAGTGGCAGTCAAATATAGTGTCAATAGTAGTAGTGCAGGTTTGTTTTATTTTTATTTTTAATTTTTTTTAATATATTTTTTTCAGTCTTATACAGTGACTTAAAGTGACTTATTGTACAGTCTGACAGCGGTGGGGATAAAGGCCCTGCGGTAGCGCTCCTTCCTACACTGAGGGTGCCTCAGTTTTCTATCCATATAGCATTTAAAGCTGGGGAACCTAACTTTCACAAACAATGGAACAATGTACTTGTAATTTAAATGCATATTACTTACTTACTTTCTCACTAATACAATCCATCTGAAGAGTTCCTCACTCCTTTTCTCATGCATGAAATATATATACCCTTAGATCAGTTCTTTCAGACAAAATACTGAAAAAGACAAAGCCCCTCAATCAGCCCAAAGCGTCAAATAGTGACTCACATGGTCAAGTTGGCAAAAGATGTTTTCTAATAAGAGGAAGGAAGTGTTTTGCAAGACTCTTCTGTTCAGACAAACAGCATGTATTATTTATTAACTAAAATTAGCTTCCTCAGCTTAGAAAAAAATTATTTTAAAAGCGCAGGTTCAGTTTTTTTTTGCTTTTTTATATTTTAATTTCATGTTTTTTGTTTTGTTTAGTGACAAGCTACAAGTTTGACAAGTCCAAACAGTGTATCAGCACAATGACCGTGGAGATAGACTTCCTGCAGAAGAAGAGCATGGACAGAAACCCGTACGACACCGACAAAATGAACAGTGAATTTGTGCAACACTTCAACAACCAGGCCTTCAGTGTGGGCCAGCAGGTATCACCAAGTCCCAGGTCACGTCTTTGCTCAAATCTGATGTCGTTTTGCCTCATAAACCTTCATATGTTTGTTTTTTCAATAGCTGGTGTTAAGTTTTAGTGACAAGCTGTTTAGCATCGTTGTAAAAGATATGGAGGCAATGGACCCGAGCATCCTCAAAGGAAATAAAGCTCCAGGCAACAAGCAAAAGGTAAAGGATTTTGTTTTTTTTCCGTACATAAAACATGTTGGATTTTGGCCTTCTTGTGGAATAACATTAACAAGGCCACTTATTTGAATTCTTTGCTTTTCACCAGATCGAGCTTGGTTTGTTGCTTCCAGACAGCCAGGTGATCTTTGAGAAGTCAGAAACCTCTTCGGTCACATTATCTGGTGAGTTTCATTATAGTTGCTTTTAGAAAACAAAACCATTAATTTGACATTTCCAGTGTGAATGTATTTCAGACTGTTTGCTTGTTTCAAAGTGCTACTGAAGCTGCAATACTAATGAATGCAGTACTTCACAACTGCCACAAGAGGGAGCACTTTCTTCTTTTAACTTTTCACGTTACTTAATTCAACCATCACAGTAGATTCACCATGTTTATAGGAACCATGAGCTTCAGTTGTAATGAATTAAATGATTTATTTTACATATATTGTTTGTGTTTTGTGTTTCCAGGCAGATCAAAGACACGCGAGTCTCGTCAGTCTATCATCAGCCCAGACTGGAACTTTGAGGAGATGGGCATTGGAGGCCTGGACAAGGAGTTTTCGGCTATTTTTCGTCGAGCGTTTGCTTCTCGTGTCTTTCCTCCTGAGATTGTAGAACAAATGGGTGAGTTTTTATATTCCGGTTTTCTATGATGAGCCCAAGTCACAACACAAGAGAAACTGGCTTATTGATGTTTTGGCCATTTATAGCAGTAACTATTTTTTTACTCTCCCTGTTTCACCTAAAAAGTTAAGTAGGGCCAGTTGAGACACACTGCTATAAAAGGATTAGTTTTGAATATATCCGGACACAAGACAAATGCATTATCTCATCCTCTTAGCTCCTGTATCTCTCTGTGTATGTCACAGGCGGTTAGCTTTGTTTGGCCAGATTCTGCACTAAAACAGTCAAAATAAACAAAATGAAATCAATCCAATAAAATTTGATGAATGTCCAATGAGCCAAACTTAATTTCTCAGTGACCGCAGACAGCTGGTCGCGGATTCGCCCCGAGTCCAACATGATGTCCAGAGACTCCAGACCGAGCTCAACAGTCACCGTGGAGAGAGCCTCATACCCACCACATGAGTCCTCCACAAGAACATTTAACAAAATCTGGAACTTAACTTTCAAACCATAAACAAATGAATGCTGTAATTAAATCCATCTAACTTGTCCCTGGCTCTAAAACAGCTTGGTTTTGCAAAGTGGTGAGGATGAGTACTAACCGTAACCTATTGATTGTCACTTTATGCACAGAAGAATCATAGACTCTTTTTGAATGTCCTAAAGCAGTATCACTCAAAGTTACATTTAGATACAATTTCACATGTTCGGTTTAAACAATTAAGCAATTAATCAAGCAATTGATTGTCGATATCAAAATAGCTGTTAGTTCCTGCCCTGCTTTAAAGAAAACGTAAGTCTTTCCAGTTTACCACTATGTCTCCAGACACTACTTCTGCAAGTTCAAGACAGAGAAAAATGTCTGCAATTTAAGATTCTCTCCAGAGAGCTCACCTTCTTGTAAATATACATTCAGTCCCTTTTTCAAATGAATACTAATAATTTCAATATACAAAAACCTGATTCCATTCATTTGTGCATTGATATGATCCTGTATTGTTTTCCAGGATTACTAACAGGTATCTAGTGTCATTATGGCTGTAGAGTAAGACACAGTGCTGTAAATCACTTCTACCTGGAGCTTTCAAATTAAGCCGCTCTCTAATAACCCATAATACAAATGACAGTAGTTTCCATTGTAGATCATTTCAGTGAGAACCGTCTGAATCAGCGAACCTTCAAAGATGCCCTTGTTGGTTTGGCTCAGAGCGATCCCTATCCACACACACAGATGAGTCTGTGCCAGCTGTCAGATTATTTTGAAGAGGACAGTGACAAACTATAATAACTGCTGAGTAATCTTATTGAGGCTACGCAATCTCCTCAATCCTCTTCTTGTAAAAACCTGTTGAGTGGAGCTGAGCATTTTTGCCAAATAGTTTATTGCATTTTGCAGCGCGAGTGTGGCAATTGTGGTTAGAATTGGATATTTGGTCCGACTTCGCAGTCTGCATTTTCAGCATTTTCATACACGCCCAGTAGCAGAAACAAATGCAAATAAAATATGATCTGCTGAACTGATGCAAAAAATCTTACGCATTTCCCAGCGTACATGTTTAAAAGTATACCCTGCAGTTACCTGGCTGGTTTTACACAGACTCATTCTACGGCAGATATTTATTTGTGGAGGATAATTCATCGCCTTGACAATAGTGATTTTTTTTTTTCCCCCATTGAGACCATTCAAATTGTGGTGGTGTCCAACAGGGTGTGTGGATTGCCCTTTGACCTGTTATTTATACAGAGCCTGTGGCACTGACCAGCTGCTCAATGTAACGAGAACACCGCTCTGTGATCACATAGAGCTAAAGGGAGAGTTACCACCGTCTTCATCAGAGAGACCAAATCAATTCATTATATGTTTTAATACGGTCTGATGTGTTGATGAGATTGTCTGGACACAAGAGCTGCATGGACTGGAGATAGCCCGATATACGTCATATGCAGTATATTGGGCCAATTGATATACTTTTCAGGGTATCTTCTCTCGGTCCTCAATATCCAGCACAGACCATGGCTGTAAAGAAACACATTGCGATTGTAGTGCAGGTTATTTGTATTGAAGTTTACTTGATTCTAATGCAGAGCGGTACACAGTATTGATCATCAGTGCGTTTGTGGTTCCTTTTTAAAGAATGTACTGTCACAAAGCCATCTTAAAAGTCTCTGCAATTCTAGGTTCTATAATATAAGCATCAGCCTTTTGAAAAAAAAAAAAACCATTGACTGAGCTGTAGTATAGATCATGTTCTCTCTGTGAACAAATCCCTTCAGGGAGACTAAACCTCATTTAATAGCTTTCACTTCTTTACCTGCAGCAGTCTGTTTTCTTTTCCCACACCCACGCACGCCCACGCAAACACACGCTCATACACACACACTCGCTTACACACCTGTCCGTTGGATACTTCTCCTTCGTCAGGCCCAAAAGGCAGTTCAGATGGTTATCTGTCTCCTCTCAATTAGTTTGGCTAAATGTCATTAAACAGGTGCAAAGGCGAGTGACAAGACTGAGGTAGCTTGAGGAGCACTGTTGGTGTATTGCCATTTCATAATGTACCTTTACTGTCCTTTTACAAAATGTATTTACCATAAACAATTAAAGAGATGTACTTTAGCATGGTGTTTATCTCCGTTGTTGTTGGTGCTCAGGTGGCAAGCACGTGAAGGGCATCCTGCTGTACGGCCCCCCCGGCTGTGGCAAAACCCTGATGGCGCGGCAGATCGGCAAAATGCTTAAAGCCCGAGAGCCCAAGATTGTCAACGGCCCCGAAATCCTCAACAAGTACGTGGGGGAGTCTGAAGCCAACGTCCGGAAACTGTTCGCAGACGCAGAGGATGAGCAGAAAAGAGTGAGTGGACAACATTTTATGCTCCATTTTTAAAGCCATTTCACAGGAGACTTTAAATCACATTAAATGGTTTACAAATGTTATTGTCACAAGAGTTTGTTTTATGGCACAAGAAAAAAATGTATTTATTTATGAAAACAATAGGTTAGGTACATCAGCTTCACATTTTTTAAATCTAATCTTCAGTGGATTTAGTATAAAAAACTAAATTACTTTACCAAAAATAGATGCATATTGTAAAAACTACAATGGAAGTTCTTTCTTTCTTCCAAAGCACAGGTACAGAGTTTACTTTGAACCTAATATTAAAACACGTCCCGTCACACAAGGTTATTTTAGCATCACCCGATTCCACACATAACAGCCATTCACACTGACACTGCTCATGACTAATTCTAAAACAAACATTTCAAAAACTAATTTCTCTGATTGAGAGATCTACCCTTTAGCGAGACAGAGCAGTAATAACGTTGCCGTCCTGCTCATTCACACATGTATCCAGAGGGGCCAGTTCATACATTGATTCCCAGCGCGACTGTTGGTGGAGGCTCACTCTTCACCACCTAATGAGGGGTGACTGTGCACTGACCTCCCTCTGAACGTGGCACACACAGGCCCCAGACGCACAGCTCCACACCTGCTTTAAATGCTACGTCTCAGGTTGACGGACAAGAGATGGCCTGATAACCCCCACCCCTCTTCCTCCTGTTGATTTTGGAGTACGCTTTTCTTTTTTTTTATAAAAAAATATTATTGTGTTGTGTAAATGACTGCAGAATGAAATGTCATTTAAATGTCAAATCCTGTGTGTGTAACAGCTCGGCGCCAACAGCGGCCTCCACATAATAATATTTGATGAGATAGATGCCATCTGTAAGCAGCGTGGAAGCATGGCCGGCAGCACAGGGGTCCATGACACTGTTGTCAACCAGCTGTTGTCAAAGATCGATGGAGTGGAACAGCTCAACAACATCCTTGTCATAGGTCAGATTAGCATGATGCTATACCTTTCCTTACTGTCTGCATGTAAAATATTCAGAAGAATGACACGTCAGAGCATCTGCAGCCTTCACTATCTGTTCATCTCATTCCCACAGGTATGACCAACAGGCCGGACCTGATAGATGAGGCCCTGCTCCGACCTGGGAGGCTTGAGGTGAAGATGGAAATAGGTAAGAACTCCTGATACAAACCTTGATTTATCCTTTTTCTGACATGATGTATTCTGTCACATGCAGGATTGCCTGATGAGAACGGCCGTGTCCAGATCCTACACATTCACACTGCAAAGATGCGACAGCATAACCTGTTGGGAGGTGATGTCAACATACAAGAGCTGGCAGTAGAAACGAAAAACTTCAGCGGTGCTGAGTTAGAGGGTCTCGTGAGGGCGGCTCAATCCACTGCTATGAACCGGCACATCAAGGTGAGAAGCAAAGTTAAATACGTTTCATTCAACAACGTTTCATTCTTTTTAGAGCCCCCTTCAAAATGGCTTCAAACTCTGCACTTTTCAGCTGCTGTCTTTGTTAAGATTGGTGTCATTTTAACTTGACTGTCCGTATTGCAAGGGTCAAAGTGTAATTTTCCGGGTACAGTTGTGGGCCACACACCTGGTGGGCACTGCTCCTGTGCCAGCTCGAGCAGCCACCCAGGTGACAGGAGAACAGAGGGGCGTGTATGCCCTCTCTAAAGTGTTTTATCAGGTGTGTAGGTCCCCATACACACAGCCCCAGCTAAGGTGAAGTTCTCTTCTGTTAAGTGCGGTGCCTGTGGACTCTTATTGGAGGGTGATGATATGTGATGACAGCGCCTTACACACGTCTGAATGTGGTGACGTTGTTGCTGTCCCCCTCCCTCTCCCTGTTTGACCTTTCCGCTCTGAGGGACCACATTGTCCTATGACACATTTGAAACTACAGATCATCATTTAATCAACCGCGGTCACAGAGTTCAGTCACTAAGAAATATGACTTTGATTTGTTTACTGTATTCTTTGTGTGTGTTTGTTAGGCGAGCAGCACTGTGGAGGTAAACACGGACACAGCAGAGAAACTACTGGTCTGCAGGACGGACTTCTTGGGCTCACTTGAAAATGACATCAAACCTGTAAGTCCCAGCTGTACTGAGCTGATACATTCATCATTTATTTATACAACTGGCTGTACATGCATCCATTCTGGCAATTAATTTGCTTATTTATGCCTTCAGGCATTTGGTACCAACCAAGAAGACTATGCGAGCTACATCATGAATGGGATAATTGTGTGGGGAGATCTCGTGTCTGCGGTCTTAGACGATGGGAAGCTGCTGGTGCAGCAGACAAAGAACAGCAATGCTACTCCTCTGGTCTCTGTGTTACTAGAAGGTACTGCATAAACCGCACTTCAAAAGCACAAGACCTAATGCCCAACTGCCCCTCTGCTCATTTTTCTGTTTCCTCGCAGGCCCCCCTAACAGCGGTAAGACTGCCCTGGCAGCTAAAATCTCTGAAGAGTCAGAGTTTCCCTTTATAAAGATCTGTTCCCCGGATAAGATGATCGGACACTCTGAGATCGCTAAATGCCAAGCCATTAAAAAGGTTTAAATTCTTTCCCAAATAGTCCCATGGTATTTTCCATAGAATCAAATGTATTCACCTTTGGTTTTTAGATCTTTGAAGATGCCTACAAATCCCAACTGAGCTGCATCGTTGTGGATGATATTGAACGCTTACTGGGTAAATGCTTCATGCTCAACACACTGGTCACTTTCATTGATTTATGTAAACCTCTTTTGCTTTTCTTTAGACTTTGTTCCCATTGGTCCCCGTTTTTCAAACCTGGTGCTTCAGGCGTTACTGGTCCTTCTTAAGAAACCCCCACCAAAGGTACACAAACTATTTGTACCATTCTCATTGTTTTTGCTAGTGCTTTGGTTACAGAAAGAGGGCACCAGATCTTATGGGTGCCAATGCGACGTGTTTGTGGCTTTTGGCTGCTGCTGGCATGTGTGAATAACTGTGCAAGTGTATGGTTATTAGCAAGTGTTTTGGTCCAGACCAGTGAATGGTGGAGCTTGAGTCCCATTTCTCATAGTTTCTTTGGTTGTAGTTTGTGTGTGTCCAAAAGGGTGCCTTTAACCTACTTCTGTTGTTAATAGGATGTGAATGAGAGTATAGCCCACTATATGGCTGCATGTGCATGAGAAGTGGCGCAGGGCCGGCGGCTGAATGCCTGGCTGCAGTGCTCCTCTGGGGTTGTAAAGCGCTGAGCCCAGCGGGGCGCCTGGGCCGGGGGAGGCCAGGGGGACACGCTGGAGAAAGGGCTCTGTGAGAGAGCCAGGACCTGGCAGCACCGCCGCCTGTGTGGCACCTCATCTGCATGCACCATCACAACCCCCACGCCATGGGAGGGCAGCAGCCACCATAATCCCCCTGTCTCCTGTGCTCCTGTCTTCTGCTTAGTCCTGTTCAGATCCATCTTAGTCCAGCTACAATGCTCCTGCTATTCTTCAGCTCTGCTTTCCTGTTCACTGCTCTCTCTCTTTTCTAGAGTCTGAATTCATTGCAGAGTTTTATCCTCCAAATGTTGTGTCATTACATCATCATTACTTCCATCTAAATGTGGTGCTTGTTTTAGTGCACATAACATGAAGCTCTATATGTGAGGTAGTGAGTTCATTAAAAATAATAATATACATTTGCTATAGCTTGTATGGTTTGTATGTTTGTCTAATTGTCTCTTCCTTTGAAACTTAACACTGACGTCATGAGGTGCATTTAGAGGACAGAGTTCTTCGGACCAATAATGCCCTAACAACCCTCTTTACGTAGTGCTCGTGTTGTTCCAGGGTCGTAAACTACTTATAATCGGCACCACGAGTCGTAAAGATGTCCTTCAGGAAATGGAGATGCTGGACGCTTTCAGCACGACCATCCACGTCCCGAACATCGCCAACGGAGAGCAGCTCATCACGGCTCTGGAGGTACATTCTACAAATACCAACGTATGGAATCACGTTGTACTTACTGCTGGTTTTCTATCCTCTGCAGAAGCTTGGCAGTTTCAGTGATCGAGAGCGAGCCAGTATAGCCAAAGGAGTTAAGGGTGAAAATTTGTCAATCGGAATAAAGAAGCTGCTCATGCTCATCGAGATGGCTGTGCAGGTACGATCACAAAGTACTGATGCATGATGGGAACACGACACCTGATCATTTTTATCTAGGGCAATCTTTTGTAAAAACACATTTTATAAATTTCTCCAGAGTTCAGTGTCCTTACATTATAAATACAATGAGTAAACATCAGTCTTCCCAGGCGCAGGCACTTCATCAGGTTATAATAATACAGTTGCTCGCAACTGTGGAAACAAAAATAAGACAAAGACCTCGAAATCTTAGCAGATTCTTGGCTCCTCATATCTTATACTGCATGTGTAAAAATAGGAGGTGTTCAGACATCTATTTCCCTTTCATTTAAAAGCACTATCAATTAAAGCAGTGTTTTAATCTGATAGAAAGTTTACCCGATACTAACTCAAATTGCATACAACAGTTGCTTTTCTCTGGGATTTTCCACATACGGTATGTGTGCTTGTGTGTGTTGTGATTATTTGGCCCCTGGGCAATTATTCAAACAGGCTTTTTCAAGAGCCTAATTAACGTTTTTAAAGTTTTATATCATTTGAGTCGTTGCATTGCACCTTTTCAATGCAAAAAACCCTGCTTGTGTGTGTAGTTGAGTGCATAGCCATACTAGATAGTTCATCATATCACAGACAGATAAGCATTAGATCAGTGGTGTGACCCCGCCTCCCCTCTCATACATCCCCTTTGCTTTGAGTTTTCATCTTTTTCCATCATTCATGACTGAGCACATGGGTTTCTGACAACAGAGCAGTGGCTGCAGGCGTTGTACTCTGCACTATAAGTTATTACTGTGGTTGCCATTAATTTGACTTCCTCTGGCCCTCCTTAAACCCATGTCTTCAAACTCACATGTGAACTCTATCACATGCTGTTTTAGTGTCCTATGTTTGTTCTTCATTTTGGGTTTGTCTCTTTCAGATGGAGCCTGAACACAGAGTCGCTAAGTTTTTAAGTTTATTAAAGGAAGTAGGAAGGTGAGAAATTTCACACTTTTTTTCACGGCAAAACCAAACTTCAACCAATAATGATAATTCACACTTTATTTTGATCTTTTGCAGAATGAACCCAAATAGGTTCTAGATGAACAGGAGATGTGCCAAGAAAAATATCCATCCTTTTACAGTAAGACGACTCAATATGCACTTTAGAAATGATTTGAGCATCAATTACAGACGTACAAGTAAACATTCAATTCATAATCTCAAGAAAAAACTAAATTGCAATCAGTAGGGATACGTTAATACTATTTGTGTGAAGTATTGGTGCTGATGCAGGAACTTTTGGTGGCTATCTATTTTTTTTAAGCCTTTTAAGTGATGAAAGAAGACTATTTACTGGCTTAAATTAACCCAGGATGGCTGCTTGCCTTGATAATTAACTGTAAAATAACCCAAGTGGATTTAGTCATGTACAGTAGCTAAAATTGTTACTTGAAACCTTTGACAAACGACTACAAGCAAACAACGGAGGATTAAGTGTGACAAAAAAATGGATAATCTCTGTTTGCACGCGGCGGATTACAAAGTCAAATACAGCTGTGTTTGATTTATGGCTCTTACCAAACTTATTTCCAAATACTTTTTATTGACACTCATCTGCCGCTATGCCAACGAGTTAGTGTTGGCCTTGTGCCGGTGGTGAGTTCTTTTTTTCCATGACACGCCGGGAGTCGTATGGGTAATAGTTTAATACGTTGATTAAAAATAGGCCGAGACGACGGGTGCGCTCCTGTGGCGGCATGTCTCGTTCCGTCTCTCCTCTACTTTGATGCATCCCTTTTCGCAAGCAGTTGCCGAGGAGTCCTAGAAGAAGCGTCTAGAAGCGGCGTCTTACGGGTTGGCTTTTTCTCGGCCGATCCCGCAGCCTCCGACTCAAGCGGCCGTTTGTGAGATCCAACTGTAAACTTTTACGGCCTGGAGCTGAGGCAAAAGCAAGGAACATTCTGTGCGTTCATTTCAGATTTCAGGTTGTATTGATGTGACGCAGCATTGCCAAACATGAAAGTCACACTATGATCTTAACATGCGCTTGGATGAATACATTTACATTTAAGTTTGGTTTTGAATTAATATTTACAAGATGAGTATTGAATGAGTAATGAATATTTCCTTTTTTATATATATATATATATGACAATAAATTACTTGATGTTCTATTGTTCTTGTATGTTTGTATTCTTATTTTAGTGCAGTTGCTCATTTTCCCCCTCAAATAATTTTTAGACTGAAATGTTTAGACTGAAAGTATATTATGAGGACATCTATACTGAAATCCCCGTCAGGCTGCAGAATTGTTTTTTGCTACACTATGGAAACCCCTTCTGTCTCATTGCCAATGGATCATGACTTTATGTTGTCTCACTATCCACAGCCTTCACACATGGCTCTAAGGAAGGCACTATCAATCTCTGGAGCAGAACAGTACAGTAGAAGTCTATGTATCTTTTGGTTTGTGTGTGTGTTTTTTTTTTTTTTCTTTCCATTGATACATTTGTAAATTGTGGACAAAAAGATGACATTTCTTTCTTGCTTGTGTAATTCATGTTTATCTCTGATTCTTATCCTAAAACATCCTCTTAAAAACGTGTGCACTAAACAAAAAGACAAAGAGACCGTTTTCTTCAAATATATAATCTTAGTTCAGTCATACAGATATATACATTGTATAATAAATAATATTTATAAAAACATAACATTTACGATTATAAAATAAAAAGGGAATTATTCACTTTAAAACATTTGTACAAAACTTTGGATATAGCAAAGGTTTAGGAGTTTTTGGAACAGAAACCGAACACAGAAGGTCAGGAAAGTATGGAATGCCGAGCTCAAAGAACGCACTTCTAGCAACATATGTTTGTATTGTTAAATGCAACGATCAGAGGATGGGACTGTCGGGGCATGTTGTGTAGGAAAATGTTTTATTACTGCAAAGGACCAACCAACCATTATCTATCCATATATTTTCTTTGAGCCTCAGCAGGATTTGAAGCTTCCATTTGGCTCGGCAACATAAATCACCTCTGAATCAAGTGCCGTTTGTATTTTTTCTTTTGATCCAGGCTGAACACATGATTGCCTTTCACTCTGACAATAAAATCAGTATAATCTAACAGAAGGTGCACTGTATGACTTTGTTTGCAGAACGCTTCTTGAAATGTTCCTTTTTATGACGTTATAGTTTGACTTCCGGGGAAGCCCAAACATGTGCACTTGTCTGACAAAAATCCCACACAAGAGATTTAGGGGTTACATTAAAAGTCATGCTACAAACAATATCAATAACCAAGGTGCAAAGGTCTGTTGGGTTTCTGACTATGCTTTTGTTTCAAATGTTCATGCTCACATCATTAAGGAGCAATAAGTACTTTTTGTTAGATTGATATTTTTGGTCATGATAATCATACCTTAGAAAATCCCATAATCCAGAGGTAAGCAGCAGTATATCAACTATTTGGCTATACTATACTATATTCAACTACTTTTACCATGCTTGGCCCAGGCTCTAACTAGAAGAGTGCTTACTACATCCTTAAAGCTGGGGTACCTAACTTTCTTCCCCTAAAAATTGAGTTTTGTGAATGAATGCGACCACAACATACTGACTGTATCTCAGTTAAAATTAATAAAAATGTTTTTATTAATATGAATTAATAAAATATGTTGTTTACTAAAAAGAGTTGGGTGAGGCTGAGTGAGGGTGGTCTTCTCTTTTTCGCTTTTCTGTCTGAAAAATTATGTTATTATGTGACGGAGGCCAAAAACACTTGAATGTGAAAACTAGGGATAGGCAAGGAACTAGTTAAATGTTAGGTACCTCAGCTTTAACTGTCTGAATGCCAAAAAGGACTGGTGAAACTCCTTTACATACTTACTGCTGTGCCTAATAATCTGGTTTTCTATACATATTTGTCACCTTTATCTCCATGGAAACAGACAAGTTTAGTGCTGGATAGAGATACTGTAAGTAGGCTGGTCCTCTACCAAAAAAGCTGCATAGAGCACTTTTAAAAAACAGGGCCCAGAACTGGACTTGTCCCAATGCTGTCCATATGTTGAGATAAACAGATCCAAAATAACATGTATAAGAATGAGAGGAATAAGACGGCCTTTTTGTCTTGGTATGAAGCTTTGACATACACGCTCATATCCAGCAGACCACACATAAATTCAGATGTTTTGAACAGGTCCATGAGAAAATAAGCTGGAAATGGCTGTATTAAAACACGAGACCAAGACAGATGGGCTGGCATTTGTGCCTTTGCAAATACATTTAACTAACCAAATCGCATTGCTTCTCCAACGTCTACTTTGTAAAAATGGAAAGTTGTTTTGGGGTTTTGTAACAGCAGTACAAGTTCATAAATCAGCCATTTGTGAAGACCTCACTGGAGAGAAATCTGCAGTGGAGGAAAGATGTAAACAATTATCAGTATGCACTCTGCCTTATGGCGTGCACATGCCGTCACAAGTCCCCCAAGCCCAAATGAATGATTTATTCTTACGCTACAGTGCCAGAGATTTTTTTATGAGGTGTGAAAAAATAGTAAGCATAATTGAGTTTTCAGATTTTTGAGAAGGGTCACTAATAGATCAATGGGTTTTATTGACTCACCTCCTGCTTGAGATGTTATAATTACTCCTACTCTTATTTGTATTTACTGTATATCAACTTGACAAATCAGTAAAGTTATTCAGTCTACGTTTTAAAGATTTTGATGTGGTCTGTTGGGAATACACCAGAGCATGATAATCACTGACTGTACTGTACGTAAATATGTTTAAACAGGTATTAAATTTGGCACAGGGATGTAAATGAGTACCGTAAAGCTCCAACATGTTGTGAATGTATCTTAGTTTTACCGGGGGACAATGTGACATCGCTGTTTGTTGCTTGACTTAACATTTTGAGCTTTGCAAAGCAGATAGAAAATGAGACAGGAAAAATTGCTCAAGATAGCTAATTTTGATAGTGCATTCAAATTCATGTTTAGTGGAATGAGCGTGCTTGTTCACACACATGCCCCCTCCTGCAAAATGCTAGTCCCAGCTCACAGCTAATATTTCAGAAATGCAGGGCTATAAAATCAGGCGGGAGCATATCTTCCAGGCATCCACTGTTGACTGATGCAGAAGACTCCGGCATCAGGGACAACACAAGGCAAAACATTGAATCAGTAGTTATACAGACAGCACTGTCTAATGAAGTTCAGTAGTTACAAAGTGACATTTGGATTTAATAACATCCAGCCAAGTGTCCAGAGAACTGAGGTGTTAGTAAAAACGTGCTTTTTATACAAAAGCAGAAAGTCTGTAAGTTTCACTGCATTCGTCTCACAGGTATAAAGAGTTGGCGGCTGGAGGGGAGGAAATAAATTAAGACAAAAGGGGAGAATGGGGTTCTGATGCTGCACAGTGGGACAGGGTCTGGAAAAGGGGTGTTGAAGCTGCTTCCTGTTGATGATGGGGCCACAGGTCACATGGGTCTCCTGAGGGTCTCCTGATCTAGAATGAAACGTGGTGTTGTATCTCTAAAACACACTCATCAACAATGTGCCAAGACCCTGGAGGTGAGTGTGTTACTGTTGTGTTGGGCAGGAAGCGGGGGGAGTCTTGGATTGGGCAGCACTGAGTCCACAGGCTCGGGCCACTGTCACTTACACGTGTGCACGTCATACACACGCACGCACTCCTGGCAGCTGACGTAGCAGCACCAGTGGAAGATGCAGTGACACTTCTCTTTGCGCTTCTCAGTCCTGGTGTTGTGTCCGCGGCCGCAGCACAGCAGGTCACAGCCCTCTATCCCGTGTGAGGACACATTACAGGCCCGGTCCCTGGTCCCGAACGATCCCGTCTCTGAGTTGGGTTCGCAGAAGTTGGGGGAGCCCTCGTAGTAGACGAGGTCTCGCTCTGTGGGGTGCTTGAAGAAGGGGTATTTGACCCGCAGCGTCTCTACCCATCCCCGGGACTCACGGTGCTTCTCCACGATCATCTCCGAGGCACTGTCGTACTTGTCCTTCAGGTAGTCCCCCAGACTGCGGAAGTCCGGCTGAGCCCACCAGCAGGTCTTCACCTCACAGCTCCCGGACAGACCGTGGCACTTACAGCGCAGGTGCATGTGGTCCAGGATGGTCTGAAACAGCCATGGGACAACTGTTTACATTTACACACATATCATCACACTTCACTGCATTCACATCCTGCTCTCTCTACACATCACCGGCCTCTCTCTGGAGTTTTGCTAATATGCTAATCAAGGCTAGCTCACGCCGTTTTTTTTAAATGAAATAATTTCAAAAGTCTTCCTGAGGTTATATAAACAATATAAGCATGGGTTATAATGTTATCAGGGCAGACAATTTAGATCATATCAGATTTTTAAATTGAGGCACTAAGTTCTTTTTGCTTGAATTAAATAAAACACATGCATCAATGGCTTGAATATCATCATACACAACAGTGTGTGTGATAGTAGACTAGGAATTTGTTCAATAATTTATTCCAGCTTGAGCATCAAATGATGATGGCTATTCTTTCATGCGAATGCAAGATCCCGTCAGACCTCTGAAGCTGTGCAGGGCGGGACCTGGTTATTACTGTGATGGGAGACCTCGGAGAACACCGTGTGCCACAGTGGGGCGGCGGCTCTAAAGTGCCGATGTGTCCTTAGGCTAGACACCTCACCCACATTGCCTAGAATGAGTCGTGTGTGTATGGTTGGTGGTGATCAGGGGGACCTTCTGTGAGTGTGCTTATCACCACTGTGTATGGAGTGAAAGAATAGTGACATATAAATGACTGTATAAAACCCATTCATTATTATAATATAATTTGTGTATGTCCCAGTTGTAAACCAGAGCACAATCAACCATGCAATCTAGTTGGATGACCAGCGACCACCATCAACCATTCACAGGCTCATACAAGGCAATATGGGTGAAGTGTTCTGCCTAAGAAAAAACACTTTTCTGCCACAGTCATTCTACATTACACCTGATGCTCCCAGAGGTCCCCCATCACAGTACTAACTAGACCCTGTCCAGCTTAGCAGAGGTCTGATGATAACAAGCTTTCACCTGCAGGTAGTTTGGTATTGCGCCAATCGACCAATATACTGGTCCAACCAATATCAGTTTAACCAATTAAATTGGTTGACCCACAGCCAACAGGTAAATTCCTGACCAATATATTGTTTAATCTAACAAATATTGGCTGAACCAATTTATTTTTAGTTTTTCAAACCATTTTTTTGTCTTGGTGACAAAAAGTGGGACATCTTGGACATGTCCTGTATACCACCAATACACTGGCAATAAAGAAAGTTATTTAAAAACTAAAGTAATTTTCTTAAATGATTTGATGGCCTCAGTGCTGATCCTGTCATGAAGGAAATAAGCCAAGCCCAGCTCTCACAAACCAATCCAAGATATTGGAATTTTATGGTTACAGAAATGTTCAGGAAATTCAATAACAGAGACTAACAAGACCACTAAACAACTGCAGCTTTGGCCAAGAAAAACTGTGCCACCATCACCAAACCATGAGCCCTCTCTGGCACAAGAGAGTACCACTTATTATGTGAAGTAAGAAACAATAGCACTATAGAGATATCCAGCATATACAGTGAGCAAAAGTCTAAAAGTGAAACATTTGCATATTTTGTCATGTTTTGTTTAAAGATACAAACATGAAGATCTTTTTTATAGAGTTCTTATTTTTAACTGAAAAATAGTTTCCCCAGAGAGGGGAGCTGGTACATGTTTAGTGGTAGGGGAAATCAAAGCACCTGGAGGAAACCTACGGCAAACATGCAAACTCACTCAGTGAGGCTCTATCTGGAGGTGGATTTTTTTTTTTGCCCGGACAATATAGATATTGTCTATTTTGATTGAACGATAAGTCCGTAGTAATTATGTAATCATTCTGTAATCACACATCACTGGAGTGTGCTGTGCCTGCCCCAGGGCGTCTTGTGTGCGCTTAGAATCAGAAAATAGATTTAGCCACAAGAAAAAATCCCCAGCCACAGGAAGGTAGATTTTTGTGGCAGCTATGTTTTAGAAGAGAACAGGTGACATCATATGTACAGTAATCCTGTCATGCCAACATCAGCCCATCTCCAGTGGCCTCAGGGCGGTGTGCAGCATGAAAGGCCCAGGTGGCAGCGCTGTGGTCCCTGCAGAGCTGTGTGTGTCAGATCAAAGGCCTGGGCTCTGCGTTTGCCCCACAGCTACAGCCACAGAGCTACAGCCACAGAGCCGCTTCTCTCCCGAGGGCGACAGCGGCTACTGATGTCTTAAATTGCCACTGACTTCCTGATATTCCCACTCCACTCCTGTGGCCTTTTGTGACTGACAGGGAATTTTTGGTCGTTTTCTGAGGCATAAAGGTGTGCGTGTGGGGAGAGGGGGTCGACTTATCTCAGCGTTTCAATGAAGTAGTCATTCAAATTGAGAAGCACATTTTTTTGGAAGTAGACAACGTATGAGCAAGTTGAAAAATGAAGTAGTCTGGTATTGTAGCAAATCACAAAGATGATTAAGGTTTCACAAGAGACAATTTTGACAAAGAAAAAGTGGGAAAATTACCCATCCCTCCTGGGAGGAATGAATTATCATGTTCTTAAACACTCTTCATAGGTCTCAGAAGGATTAAGAAAGTACTGTCAACACTTTTAGTCAAATATATTTTTAATAGTGGGCAGACCTCAAATACAGTGCCTTGCGAAAGTATTCGGCCCCTTTGAACCTTTCAACATTTTGCCACATTTCAGGCTTCAAACATAAAGATATAAAATTTAATCTGTAGTTATCTGCAGTTCATCCAGAGTGATCATGGGCCTCTTGGCTGCATCTCTGATCAGTCTTCTCCTTGTTTGAGATGAAAGTTTGGAGGGACGGCCGGGTGTTGGTAGATTTGCAGTGGTCTGATACTCCTTCCATTTCAATATAATTGCTTGCACAGTGCTCCTTGAGATGTTTAAAGCTTGGGAAATCTTTTTGTATCTAAATCTGGCTTTAAACTTCTCCACAAAAGTATCTCGGACCTGCCTGGTGTGTTCCTTTGTCTTCATGGTTCTCTCTGCGCGTTAAACAGAACCCTGAGACTATCAAAGAGCAGGTGCATTTATACGGAGACTTGATTACACACAGATGCATTCTATTTATCATCATCAGTCATTTAGGACAACATTGGATCATTCAAAGATCCTCACTGAACTTCTGGAGTGAGTTTGCTGCACTGAAAGTAAAGGGGCCGAATAATATTGCACGCCTCACTATTCAGTTTTTTATTTGTTAAAAAAGTTTTAATTATCCAATAAATTTCGTTCCACTTCACGATTGTGTCCCACTTGTTGTTGATTCATGACAATTTTTTTTTTTTTAAATCTTTATGTTTGAAGCCTGAAATGTGGCGAAATGTTGACAGGTTCAAGGGGGTCGAATACTTTCGCAAGGCACTGTACATAGTTTCATGCACTTTGGATGAGATACATAGAGATGTTGATGATTATTGCCTTTTTAGTCAAAAGATAGATTGACAGGCTATGTTTATAGTTGTGTTTAGTTTTAATATATATGATAATTTTACAGGGTTTGGATTATTGTTAATGTTATATTTATAAAAAAACAACAACAATGTTTTAAAAGTCGTGCAGGTTCATGGCCCGTCATCTGAAACCACTATGTTTGGAAAATGGACTCCTTTCTTATTTTGTGTCGTCCTGTTTTTGTCAAGGTGTCTCTCTCAGACCAGAGGGACGTGGCATGTTGGTCATGTTTATATTCTCTAACACAGACTAACTCCAAGTATCTATAAACTGCAGATATTTACCGATCGCCCGGCTTCATTGTTGTGCCTGTTCATCGCTGAGCGAGCATCCGGCCGGTTCTCCCGTGCATCCGCGAACTCTCTGGACACCAGAACCCCAAACTCAGCATCTTCACTGCAGCCGCCCCATTTCCATCCATCGCCTGGAGGTCCTTTGTGATGAGAGTCACAGCCGCACATGGTGGACGTACCCTCGGCACAAGACCTCGTCACAGCAAAAGCAACGCCGGCTGAAGCTATGGCGTGGACAAACGCAGATTCCCTGGTGGCTGAAAGAATGTGGGAGACAAAGAGAGAAAGGTATGTCAAAGCTATGTTCTGTTCACTGTTGCCAACTTCAAGATAAAAGTAGTGATAGAGACACCTCGAGGCTAAAACCTTTTAACGCAACATTTCAACAGTGAAAAGTGCCTTCTCTGGTATTTGGCCCATTAGAATGTTTCACCTAGAGAAGAAACTGATATTCTTGCAAATGTATGATTTGAAAGTCTCACATAGAAGTCACTAGTCAGAGTACATGAAAGAGCCCCAAAGTGGTGTGTGCAGTGACATCAGTCTTTGTGGTTGTGTCAGAAGGCCTGATGCTCAGTGGGATCTCTCTGACCTCCTGTCATCCCTGAGGTGTGCTGCTTTGCATCTGGATAGTGTTTCAGGAATGTCATCAAGCCCCGCCCACCGCCCGGCTCAGACCTCGGGGAGTGCGCTGAAACCCAGCCGCATGTCGGCATGTTTCTTGGATAGAGATCGAAGACAACAGTTTATTATGCAACCAGACACCATCGTTTCAAAATAACAGAACATGCTCAACCATTATTCAATGCTGATAAAAGCAAGGGCATGTGGTAAATGTTTTATATTTCAAGGTTTAAAATCTAAAGTGGTAAACTAATATCACAAAAGCGTACATTTTTGCTCAAACACAAGGCAGACCGCAAGATGGTCACAAGGCTATGATAGAGACTGAAAAACAAGTCTTCAAACTCTTTCTTAACACAAACAAGTATTTTGCCTGTAGCTGCAGAAGTTTTTCAACTCACTGTTGTCTGCACACACACTAAACTGTTTTCATCCTTTAACAGTCCACCAGATGTTGCATTGTTTACTGTACTGTAATATTTATTATTTTATTAATTGATTTCAAACCTTTACGTTCAATATACGCGCATATATTCACTCTTGCTCAGACTGGACATCATGGGTCCCGCTGATAAATCTGGTCGGGCCCTCCACAACAGGGGCCTGTGAGCTCTGGGCCCCTGGTGCTCTGGACGATAGCCAAGGCTAGCGGTGCTCCTGCTACCTGCTGGGCCCATCAATCCCCCTTTGTTTCCCTTGTGTCACACTGTATTATCCACATAAAGGGCCCAGCGACTCGCGCCCCCACAGTCCCTCTCTGCCCAGAGCTGGCATTCCCTAAACTCCCTAACCCCCTCTCACCAACAGAGCCCAGTCCCAAGCACCAGCACCCACGTCAGGGTTCCACCACATAAGCTGCACAGCCTGTTCAAGGTGGCTCTGCCTGGCCTCTGTCACTGTGCCGGTGCTAACCAGACGCACCATTCATCATTCCTCAACTGATTCTCCTCTCCAGTCTGGTCTTCCTTCATCCCCATCCCAAACTGACACCACGGCTCGTCCGGGAGCTGCCGCGATCCCCTTTCAGCCTGTTTTCATGACAGAGTCAAAAGGGCGTGTGAATAGGGCATCCGTGGGAGCTGGACTATGTGAGGCGCACTGGTCTTCATGCACAGTAGGGGTTGTGCGGAGCCCCCAGCCCTTTTCTGTTGGCTGTAATCTCATTTGGTTTCCCTTCTCCCTTTTATTTGATTGTGGAGTTTGGACTGCTCACGCTGCCTCTTTTTTCTATCTGTCTGACGCACTGTATTTTCTTCCAATCAGCTGTCCCACACAGAACACACAAACATTGATCTTTATCATTAGCAAATGGAAGTCACTTAGCATGACACATGGCTTTTGTTTAGGAAGTGCCCTCCCTATTGTACTGTCAGGTTGTGCTTGTGTGGCAACATCCCCTTTAAAATGAGTATTGTGCATGAATGAGGTTGATGCAAGTCTCCAGTATATCAGCTGTACTTGTCAGGTTTCACTGATAGATTTATGGTGCTGACTGCCTTTTATGTTGATATGTGTAAACATTGTTGGGAAAACGAAGGAGCAGTAGAAGTCACAGTCAAAGATAAGCATGACACGAGGAATAATGTTACTGCCTGCCTTCAGTGCTCATACCTCGCTGCAGTCGCAAAGGTGTATATTTTTGCAATTGCCGCAGTTAGTGGATTGACAGCAGAAGGGATCACGGAGTGCATAGCCTCGGGTGAACAGTCTGTTGTCGTGTCCGTGCTGTATGTAAGTCTGATGTATTGGGTTTACCTTTATCTAGAACTGGGCCGAAGATGGCCAAGTTGTCCTTAATGGTTGTGCAGTTCCACCTGCGACCTCTGAACTGGTGCTGGCACTCCTGGATCCCCAGTTTGACACCTTCAGCGACACTGGGCATGATCTCAATGTAGTTGCGACAAAAGCGCAATTGCTTGGGCACCAGGCCGGGGATGGAGCCGCACAGGATGGGTTGTGAGCCCAGAGACGAGTACTGCTGTCCAAGAGCAAGGGACCTGTTACACAGAGAGACGAGAAGCATGGTTACACAACACAAATGACAGTGGATCATAAAACGGACTTTCTTATGCATCATTGTTGACACCGTAATGTTTATTTTTCTCTTTAACACAACTGTTGCTATGCAGATTAGTTCCGTACACAAAAAAGGTTTATTTATTTGAAAGCACTGATGAAAACGCTGCAATGTAGCTGTGACTTGTGACTGAGGTCCCTACATGCATCTGTGAAGCTTCATAGCTACAGGAGAAGGCTTATTATTCAGCTCAGTCTCAGCACCTCTCAGCACCTATGCCAGAAACCATTATCATTCAGATAATTAATTTTAATTCCCCCAGTGAAGAGGAAAAATATTTCTGCTATACCCATGTTTTAACAAGTTTTTGTGACAAGTTCCAACAAAACCAAATTTCTGAAAAGTGCCTCTGCATTTGCAATGATATTGAAAGTGTTTTATGTCCAGCTATCTGTTCCCAGTGGCTTAAAGCTTGTATATTATTGATTTGTGAAACAGTGACATTTTAACAATAGTTTACCTTACAAGGACCAACCTGGGATTTTTAGGTATAGAACATTACGGGGTAAGAGTTGACGTTGATTAGATCAGAGCGCCACTCAAAATGACCTCAAAATCCCCGCAGGGCGCAACCCAATCACAGCAATCACTGCCTCTGACAGATTATTGCAGTGCAAAGCCCTACCCCAAGACAAAAGTTGAGCCATTGAAGTCATGTTGGAAAAATCCCCCCCTCAGTTCACAGCTTGGCCCTTTCTCCATGAAGCACACACAAAGTCCCTGGCCTTCTATCCTCTCTTCCTCCATTCATTGTTTTTCCTTGTTTTGAAACAAGTTTACAGGTAGAGATTTGGGCGCTGATGCACAGATGATATTTCCCCAATCAAATATAGCCTCTTTAACTGTTCTGCTCTCGTCATGTGTTCATTCAAGTCACATTAGCTCATCTACCAAGGTCAATTCTACATCTCTGAGTTCAAGTGTTGCTGACATCATGCTGTCTGTTGATGGAGTGACTAAGGACTTAATTACACTGTCTGCCTGCTTGGTTACTGCCCAATCATTTCCCAGTCACGATATGGACGAAGTAGTTCATGTGCTACTCAGACTTTGAGTGACACATTTCTTGCTGAAAGTAAAACTGTGTCATTATTACCTGCACTTTTAATGCTCAGAACCCTGAGTATGAAAACTATTGCATGACGTTCTATTGACCACCGCTGAAATGTTCTGATTGAAATACCTGCTTAAGTACTGAGTAGGATAGATTTCTTTTGGGATGACTTTGCAAACCGCAAGAGACTCTGTGGTGTCCACGACAGACCGTGTATCTCCCAGGCCATTTGTTTGGTGAGCAAAGGATGTGCCTCATTAGTGTGCATGTAAAGTTGACAAGAACAGCTTGTCGTTTTAATGAGGTGCTAATGTGAGTCTTAACCCAGCACTGTTATGTAGCGTATCATGCAAAATCTGCAACGCATCTAGAATGCTTTAGGTGCTGGGCTGATCCTGCCTCATTTCTCTCTTCTCGGAAGCCACAAGCGACGTGTCTGGACCCAGAACAGCAGCAGACTCAGAGACCTCCACAGAGGCAGAGCCGGGGGAATCCGCTGCAGGGAACGAGACGAGCAGCACCGCTCCACAAACTGCAGGCTTCTGCACTAGCATGTCCAAGCATGTCTACATGGGGCCCCTATTGGCCCTTAGGCTTTACAGCATGGTTGTGTAGATGTGTCTTTACCTAAACCATGTTGATGTGTGAAAGTTAAGCCACAGAAAAATACTAAAATGAAGCTGAAGAATCATATTCCCCCTCAGCAGATGTCGGACATGTTTATACTCATGGGTCAGGGCTAAGTTTATTCCCAAAAAGTTACAGATCATTATTATTCATCAGTGTGACTATGAGCCATCAGGAACATGCTGCTGCTGTTGTCAAGTATTGCATCACAGCTATGGCCTCACTGAGAGACAGTCCTTTCTATCCAGAGGCACAGAAAATACCTGGTGACCCCCTGAAACCGTGGAGCAGAATGTGGCTTTTGACCCAAGCGCCTCGAGCCTAATCACTTTTAGACAGAGTGAAGTCCATGACCAGGATCCTTAAAAAGCTAAAACATACAGTTTTATGCCTTAAACAATTGATGCCAGGGGTGTGTAACTAGCAAAATGCTCAGTTTTTATCAAAAACTCACCTTCATGCATTGATGGTAAGATGCCATGTTATACATAATTGCTATATTATGCATAAAAACACATTTCTCAAGATTTTTTTTCTAAACATTGAACCCAAAGGGCAAATAGAAATCGTTCCATAGCCTTCAATCTACTGTCTTACATTTAGTCCAGTTTTGGTTCAATCTACAATAACTCACACAAAAAAAAATCTACCAGAAAAGAACATCCAATTAATTCGTGACACTGAACAAATAACATACATTAAAACAATAAGATAATCCATAAAAATTAACGGACGTAGTCACGCCTATCTCCGCCGTTCTAACTAATGGGCCAAAAAATGTGCTCTACTGGAGCTATCCAAAATGGCCGCGAGTGGTCCCGCCCACAAGAAAATTGTGAAAAAACGCATCTGCGCATGCGTCAGCCGGCGAGAGCTCCATTCATTTGAACGAGAGACTTCAAAAATTCACAGCAAGTAAACTAGACTGGTCCAAAAAAATTCACCCCCCTCAGCCAACTTTTGGACCATCCTGTAAAGGTGTTTTCGAGAGGTAAGAAGATGCTATATGTTAGCATTGGCTAATTCTTATTCCGGGTCCACCCCCATCGGCCTGGGGTGGTATTGCAGCATGTCAGCGCACGTCATTTTGGCCACTTTTGAGCCGGGACCCACCCCTACTGGTAACGACTAAAGCAGCGTGTTCAGAGAAGTTACAGTTGAAGCTGGAAGTTTGCACTCACCAAAGTTAAATCACATTTTTAAGTCAATTCATCTAATCCCATTCCTCCTTATGGAACAGGTGTAATTGTGTAATTGAGACTGTTTCTCGGTCTGTCTCGCACACACCTCAGGTCTTCAGATCAGGCTGTGAGATGACTTTGTAAACACTTTGCCTTCAGTGGCGTCAGAGTCCATTAGGAAGACGTATCAAGCTTTAATGTTTTTGTAAGGTCCCTTTCTGGTTTTCTTTATGTTTTTAATATTAATAATAACAACAACCTCTGCCAAGCGGCACAGTTCAATTCCATAAGTCAGTGGAAGATGATTTCCAGATTTTTTTGGAAGTGTTCAAAAAAATCAATATTTTCTTATTACCCACATTTATTTTAGATGATGTTAGATCAAAAAGCACAGTTCATGACTTAAATAATCAACATAAAAGCTTCAAATTATTACTATATTAAATTATTTACATCAGTGGTGGTTTCATGCCTAATTCATTGATCCTGGCCTCAGCCACAGCTGCCCTCGGGTAAACTGAATGAAGCAAGGTTGCCAATCTGTGCCATCGGCCCCTCTGACCACCACCGTTATTCACACATATATGCACACATGACTCGTACTAAGAAATGTGATTGAAGTGTCTTGACACAGACAGCACTTAGCAGCCTTAGCCGCCTAACTGTGAGGTCTCCCATCACAGTACTAACCGGGCCCTGCCTTGTTAAGCTTTCACAAGCAGGTATGGCCACTGTTTCTTTGGAAACAATGGCGTCTTCCTTGTTGAGCGTTGGTTTTCAGCCCGTGTCCTCATTAGACCAACTTTGTCCAACATGTTCATGACGTCTTGTCCTGGAGTTGATCTGCTGCAGACTACAAACTAAAGTGTTGTATTGTGTCTTTCCCACTTTGTTAAAAGTTATAGTAACTCTGGTGTGGAAATATAGACCTCTTTCAATATTGTGGCTTTAAGAAACGATAAAGGATTTAATAATTTGTTTAATAATAATTAACCTTTTGATACAGCGAAAGTTAATCTAACTTCAGACAGTGAGAAAATTTTTATATGAACTGTAAATGAGAATTGTCGGTGGTACTGAGTAGTGCTTTGAATCTGGCGATACACAATGTTTCACAACACATAGGTTACAATGTGAAGCCATATTCCCCATTACTATAAGGTTGATTGATTATTGATTATTTACACAAGGCGTCTTATAGAAATAGATGGAGCAAAAATGTTAGAATGTTTGTTGGTCAGTGCTCAAAAACGTGTGTGTGTGTGTGGCAAAATGTACATGTCATATTTTATTGCGACTGAGCTAAACCAGTGGTTATTTGAAGACATTTCACCTCTTATTCAAGGAGAAGAGTGTATTAAGAAGCAGTCAAAGACAAACCAATGCACCCAACCAGGAAACCTCCAAGCATTTCATAATATCGACGTTGATATAAGAAAATTGGCCATAAACAGATGTTGTTTTATCCCTTTCTGTATACAATTCCCTAGTACTGTAACTGTAAGTGTAAATGTGGGAATGTCCTGGAGTTGATCTGCTAAGGCTTGTGTCCAGTTTTTAATGAATAAATGTTAGCAGGTATGAGATTACAAGTTTAGGTTTTCCTGACACAAAACAGGATACAGATTTCAATGTTTTGCAGTAATAATTAAATTTTTGGGCACCCACTAATGACTCCTTCCGTCTTTCTGCTAAGGCTGTAACTTGGAGTACCTCGTAAAATATTTATCTGATAACATCCATTCACTGGTTCCTAGCTCCTAAATGTTTTTTGTCACACACTAGTTTTCACATTAACGTATCATTGGCCTCACAGCTTTCTCAGTGAAATGAGAGTACCAGCCTTAACTCAGCCAATCAGCTCTCAAGATGTGAAAGATAATGTTTTCTAATTAAATGAATACAGCATATTGTGGTCTGACTTTTCACAAAATACTACTGAAACAAGACTCTTTCTGTTGGGACAAACAAAAACATATTTTTGAAACAAATAAAAAAGTTAGGTCCTCCAGCTTTTAGGGTGTGCATGATAGTTGCATAATATAGCAGCTTCTCTACCTCAGTGTGTGTGTCACATTATGGGAATATTTATACAATGTTTGCTTATGCGCCTTTTCCCGCCTCAGGTGATGTCGATGGTGTCTATTTTTGGTCTGCTTTCAGTGACAATCCATAAGAACATTTCTCAATGGAAAAGGCATCGTGTCTCTGATTTACATCTGTATGTTGACGCCGCAATCTATATTTCGACTTGCCTGAGGGGAGCACAGGTTGGAGAGATATATACAGGGAATCTCTCCATCAAAAATAAATCTAGACATCTCGACAAGTGTGTTCTCTGAGAGATGGAGACATGAAAGTGGGACAAAAATGTTGCAGCTTTGCCCGAGGATGAGACTTATAAAGAGGAGGAAAGTTATTCTCCTGTCGGTGTTGTGCTGTCTCCAGCTCCTCTCCGAGAACACTTTTGATATATAGTCCAACAACTTTTGGCTGATCAGATAGAAAAGTACAGGTTGGCTGAAAAATGTTCTGACCTGTTTAATCTTTTTTTTTTACGTGCAGAGCTGGGATGGCACTCCTCCATCCGACTGCAGTTGTCAATCTGTCCAACAGTGAACGCTTCCCTTTGACTTGTGCTGTAGTCGGAGACAGAGCGTCTGCTTCTAGACTGGGCTAAAGTCTGCCACACTTTGTCTAAATTGCTGAAAGTGTGAAACAGTGTTCCTCATTAGATGCTTTAGGATATCAAACATTCATTACTGTTTGCAAGTTAAAACAATTATAGTTAATGCACTGCACATCTAAGCACGAAATTGATTTTTTTAACTAGTGACACTGTAAAACTCCTTCCTTCTCGTTCATATCATATTTGCTCAAATCCTGATCTGGTCATAGCCCAGACGCTGTGGTGCAGGGTCAGGTTAGTGCTGTCAGAGAGCGCTGGGAATATCAAGTGCCTCAATGGGATGACTGTGGATCTACAGAGCCACAGGTCAAAACATTTTAACTTAGTGACTGTCTTTCTGTCAACATTTCATACAAATAACGACTTAGATTCTTATTAACAAATCCTCAAGCCATTGTTCTTCTGTGCATGATCAGAACTACACCTCCTCAGCTTTTCAGAGCCTATTCGTGCTCAACTAACATATTTTAAACTCTGCCCTCACCATACAACCTTACTCCTCTTATTTTAGTCTTTTGTTATCTCACAAAAGCACACATTGATTTCCCACAATGCATCCATTCATCCCATTTTGATTGGGAACATTGAAATGATGTAATTGATCATGTAATGCCTAATTCAGTCATTAATGATGATGCAGGTTCCTTTGGTCGTGTTCGGAGGCGTTGTACTTTTCCTTGGGCGTATGATTCTGTGATTGGTGTAAGGCTGTACGCTTTTGGGAAAATATCTCATTTCAATTATGCTGACAAATATTACAATTGGATTTTCTATTCGTTTTGCATTTGGGTATATTTAGTGTGCATGTGGGAAACTTTAAGATAAGAAAAACTTTATTGATCTTACAATGGAGAAATTTACAACATTTAGGATCATTTCTGTTTGAGAAGACTGAAATATGAACTGTTAAACCATCACAACATTATATACTGTATTATACATTTCTATCGACATTAATTTTTTTCAATTTTTTTCAGTCTATGGTTATGTGTGAGCTACACTGAACCAAGTCATTTTCAAAGTTTCATTTGTATCATTCTAAAACGTCAAAAAGATTTCTATTCAAGTCTTTCAGCTTCTTGTTTTGTGCAATATTTTGAGAACCATTTCCCATTTTGTGAATCACTACAGCACTTGTCAAAATAACCCCCATGGATCAAATAATATGTGTATAATTAAATAAATAAGTTTGCAGTGTCTGAACTAAAATGTGCGGCAGAATCCTGTGGCCTGAGACGGATGCTTCACCCACTTCTGTGAATGACTTTAGAGAAACCTCACTATTAGTCCCTCTAAAATCCACCGCTGTAACAACAGGCACTAATAGAGCCACCACCAATTGCTGTGTTTGCGTTTCTCCACGTGTCCCGAGGACCTGTTTTTGCTGCTGGTCGTTTTTTTGGTTTTCTCTTTGAGGAACTGCTGTAGCCTGTGTTTTAGTGCCGCTAATAGTCGTGCACGGGGAGACTTTGTCATTTCCTACAAGAGTGCGTTGGCTGTTCTTTGATGGCAAGAGAAGATAAGCACTCGACTTCACTGCTTTGAACATATCACCTCAAGACTTTGTGAAATTCAGAAAATAAGAAATATAGGTCAGTAACTGGGAAAAAGCGGTGGATGTATTTGCCCTTAATGATTAACTCAAACATTTGGTAGATCACCTTTGAGTCAATACATCTACTTGAAGCTTGGAACTGAAATTAAGAGATTCTTTAAGAGTGTTGCATCACCGGTTACAGAACAGTAGGAATGAGGAGCACACAGCACAAGATAAATGAACAATGACTCTAAGTAAATTAAATGAAATGAAAATCTCTAACTCTAGCATGAAGAAGAAACAAGTGTAAAATCTCTCTCTTTAGCATAATGAGAACAAATCTACCTCTGTGGGGCATCTCACTTGGTTTTATGCACTTTTACCAAATAACTTCATCTCAACCATTTGGTAAAGTCCTATAATAGTCAAAAAAATAGGTTTAGAAAAAAACCTTGCTTTAATGAGTAAATGTTAAAGCGTTAACATTCTGATATTCTTGTTAAAATCTAAAATATGAAGAGATCTCATTTGTCTTTGACCCCTGGCGCGCAGAACTGTCCGTCTGTTCAACGTGTCCTCCAGAAGGACATTCCTCTGACTTTTTAACCATTTGCACACTGTGGAGAAGAATGGAGCATCATCCTTGGATCTGTTTCACACATGGAGGATTTTCTCATGCTAAGAATCATTTAGGTGATCCCTGTGCCAATAGCAGGCGTTTGGGTTGAAGATTGGATTGGAGCTTGGGAGGGAGGGGTGTTACGCTGAGATAATAACATTCCTGAGACCCAGAGATGGACCTAAAACCCATTTTAAGCTGCTTGTGTTTAATTGGTAATATCTGTTCTGTGCAGATTTGGTGAACCTTGATAGATTGCTTTCTTTTATGGAAGTTTGAGGGCATAGACATGCATACTGTGGTAGAGATTTTCTGGATCAATTATCAGTTCTGTGATGTCTGTTCAGGGAAGCTCTCATTTATCATGTTTTTAAAGGACTTAAATTAATATGTAGTTTTAGAACAGATTCATATGTGATTTTCAATGCTTTGGCAGTTCAAGCTGGAATCCATGCACGGTCTAATGGCTCTCATCCTATACCAAAGTGTGAATATCAGGATTGGTACATCCCTAATTTACAGGGGACTACGGCCAAACTCCAGGATGATAACTGCACGAGACATGAGAAAAATACAGGATTCGAATTGAATAAGTTGCATACACACAACTGGAGTTAGAAACAGTTGACGGATGGTAGATCTTGGTAGATTTAGCTTTAAGTTTATCTCTGCAATGATTCCTACCACATGAAGCAAAAGCTGGAGTGCAATCCACTTTTTTTTCTTGAGTGAAAGTGGAGTAAATCAGGTGTGTGAGCAGTGGCGCCCCGTGTGCGGTGGGCACACTTTAGTCTGTCCCAAGGCAGCTGTGGCAGTGTGAAGTAAATGAATCCTTCACACATTTGAAACGCCTGTGAGTGTTTGTGTCTGTATAAAATATTATTATTATTTTGCTGTTAGCATAATTAAAAAAAGTTAATTGTCACTTCATAAAGTTGTGCCATTATTCAACCACAAATACATTCCTTATGTTTCTCTATTCAAAAAAACACATCAAAAATACAATTCATCTTCAATTTCAAAGTATTGCTTGACCCTCACAAATAATTGTAAATTTTCAACTGTGTAGATAAAAATGAATTGCAACCTCAATATTTTGGCAAATGTGTGGCCAATGGAAAATCTCCCACTCCCCAAAATGCTCCAATTTAGAATGTGAAAATACCTGGTTGTACATGATATTTCAATTATTATTTTTGAATCAATTTTATCGATGTTTACTTCTACAACTCCCGATGCAACCTCACAGCTCACAGCAAGTGGATGCAGTCTTATCTGAAACACTTCCACGGGGTTAAACAGTATTACAGTATGTTGCCTGACTTTTTTAGGCACACCTAATTAGCTGCTCTGCCTTTCTACTGCACTTCATCTGGATCTATGCATATGCACATATCAGTCCAGTTATTTATGCTCTGTTTTGTTTTCAACACCCTGTCTTGTAAGGGAGGCTGCCAGGCGTGCAGCCATCCCACCTTGGCTGGAGACTTTATGGCAGAGTCATGGCCCCTGAGAGCAGAAGCTGAACCTCACTGGCTCAAAAAGTCTGCACACTTCTCCATTCGCTCCTCGTTCTGTGTTCTGTGGACACGTATGACGCCACTGTTTGATACCTGCTCCTCTGTCGCCTCGGAGCCTCCCGCAGCTTCGGTCTGGCTTTTCATCTGCTCCAGCCTCCGAGGACCTGCTTACACTCCAGAATGTCTTACCCAAATCAAAGCCAGTGCGCATTGTTGAGGTCTGAACATTATCCCAGTGACATGCTAGCTGCTTGAACAAAACAGCTGCAGGTAATTCTCAGGGACCGAATCCCACTTTCTTTGTCTGTGCGTCTGATGCGTCTTTCTTTAGCCAGGGGTGTAAAGTCTTTGCCATTCACACTTCACCCTGTGGCTCGTCTATTTGGCAAAAGCCTGCTCTGTAAATGTAACCAGAAGATGCTGGTGGTTTGGACAGCACAACACTGGGGCTGCATGCTACCAAAAGTGCATAAGCTTTTCTAAGTGTTGTTCTTGGAGCCAGAAGAGCTCTGTCAGACACCCACACAAATATCTCCTAAATAAGAAATTTGTGTTTCAAAAGGACAAGCAGGAGATAAACGGTCAAGAAGACTTAGTGATTAGTGAACTAAACCTCAACACGTCACTTTCTCTTCCAAAAATAAAAGCAGCGCGGTGCTTCTCTGTAGCATTACACAGCCCTCCTTCAGTTCAGAGACTTTGGTGCTGCTGGGAACAACAGGGATATATGGGCATAGTTTTGAACTAGAGATGTTACGCATTAAGAGTTATTCTCAAATGAATCACAGCCATTTATCGTCTTTGGAGTGTTGCTTTTATCCCTACTGTCGTCGCAATGTGCGCTGCAATACTGACATTTCCCCACTGGGACAAACAAAGGTTCTCATATCTTGATCATACTATTTTGATTATTATTTCTTTCTGTCAAACATTCACGTGTTGTACATGATGCATTGTTGAGGCCCAGCGGCCTCAATGTTCATGCGATAGCAGCAAAACAAAAGCATTACTTCAGGCAATAATCAGAACATATTGTAATCTCTACACTGTGGCTTTATTCTGTGAAGTCTGTTGTCACAACATGTAAGTGATGCGTTGTAATCCAAAGTCAACATAACCAGCTTTTAAGGGGTTATCAAGTTTTTGCAGGATTTGTGACACTACAATAGCATTGCTCTAAATCAAGCTTTTCTAAGTTTAACTTCAACCACTTTGTATCCTGAAATACTCGTATGTGATAAATGGACCTGCATGGAGAGTGAGGGAAAGAACGCCGAGCCTTTTCCGTTACACCAGAACTTGAGGTTAAGATTCTTTGGACCAGGTCGGAGAACATTTTTCCACGCAGTTCTCAAATGCACACTCTGCCTCTCTCCGAAATGATCTTTTGACCAAAAACTGTTCTGCGGCTGTAGTTTGTGATGCTGGATGTCAGGAATTGTACTCACCACCAGATGGGATAGCCTCCAAGCACCCGTGAGCTGGACAACCACACACACATCAAATATCCAATCAGATTCAAATCCATGAGGCAAGCCTTCGTAAGTGTGTGTCAAAGCTGATGGATCAATACACGCAACTTCCAGAAGGTCAGTCAATTCAAAAAAGGTTTCCAGGAAGCTTGATTGTTGAATGCTGGGAAAAATTGAAACAATATTGACAGAAATGTCCTGTGTCACCTCTTCTCGGGCCAGAAAAGTGTGTGTTCCTCCTTAGTAGTTAACAGAATAAATGCACGCACTCCTACCCGTCCTTTCCTTCCCTCCCTCTCTGTGAGGTTCTTCCCTAAGGTAGATATCTTTTTCTCTCTCTCTCTACTTTTTTCTCCCTCGGGATGCCTCATCCACAGGCCCAATATTAAAGGAGGGGAGAGGGGGGAGAGCGACAGGGCGGGCTGCCGGTGGGGTGTGAGGTTTGGAGATGTCAGCTGGCAAGCCAATCACAGAAGATGGCCTTAGGTTATGAACAAAAATTATTATTCGTTCCCATCTGTCAATCAGGCGCCACCCCCCGGTAATGTAAAAGAGAGCGTTACCAAAGACAGCTGAAGAGAGGTTGTGTCACTTAAAAAGGTGAGTCAACTTAGTATCCATAATCAGAGACTTGTAAAACCTTTTCATTTGATGAAGGTGGTCCAGATAAATATCATGGCTATTATTGGTGCAACGTTACATTTATCAATATCCCAGTTTTCATTTAAACTTTATATTTATACAGTGGGTTTTTTGTATAGTCGTCCTCCCAACCCAACAGGAGAGCATGATAAAGAGGACACAATAAAGCCATAAACCGTGGTGGTGACTGGGCCAGGCATGCAGGGCTTGTAGCTGCAGCAGCCCAAAGGCGACATTTTACATCAATACTATTGTCATTCTGATGGGCTGTGGAGAGAGCAGTCGCGGGACAGGGGGAGGAGGACAGGGAGAGTGAAGGAGGGTGGGACACTTGTGATGGACTGGAATTAGCCTGAAGTAACTAGACTTTTGATTCACCTAAAAGGAAACTGATTAAGCTGAATGCAAACAAGGTACCTGGCCCAGATCAAACACTTTGTGTTGTTCATGAAGATAATCATCTTGTTTAGAGGCTTGTCTCAAAGAGATATCAGCCGAACATATCATAAAATAAACATTACACGTTATATTGTAATATGAACTACTGGTCCAATATGTTTGCTTTTTCTGAAAGAAATTTGGTTTAAAAATGTTACAAATGTTTGGGAAATCAATCAGTGAGCCCCAAACAGTGCAAACATTAAAATGTGGTGTTGTCGTTTACTGCCAGATGCCCGCAGCAACTAAATAGAAAAAGGATAACATGTACACTATGAACGTACTTAAATACTGTATAGTACTTAAATACTGTATCGTACTTAAATACAGTAAATACTTTAGGTTATATATCACACACATATAAGCTTTTGGCCAAGTGGTTGAACAATGAAAAGATAGAGGTTTCTTCACAGTGTTATTTTGTAGCTGCTGAATCATGAAATTCATCTTATTTGTTTTACATAAATCATTTTAAAATGAATTAATTGTCCTACAGTGTTCCAAATGGCTCTAGAAGTGGCTCCAGCACCTACGCTTGCTGTCTCCACAGAGGAGGCCAGGGAACTGAGTGGGTTGGGAGGCTCTCAGCATGGGACCAGAGAGAGTGCCCACCGCAGGAACCGGCCTGGTGACCAGAGTCTGTAGGTCGCCAGTGGGCGGTCCTCTCTCTTCAGCTCTCTGCGTTTTATTCCTTCTTAACAAAGGAGATGAGGAACCAGGCTGTGCCTGCGTCGTGCTTAACCTACCAGCCTTTTGTGAAGGAGTTCATGAGTCTCTAAACATGACAATAATTTATAGGGATCTTGAAGGCTGTTCTCCAGCCAACTATTGGTGGTGGGGAGGCTTGGGCATTTATTCTAATAAAAATGACTTGTTATTGCCTCAAGGGAAGATGCGGTATGCCATTGCAGTGCTGACAATGAGGCAGGTCTGTTTCCAATTGTCAACACTGTTGTATGTTACAACAATGCCAGAAATGTGTCGAGCTCAGCGCTGTGATTTGGATGACACTTGGTCTCCAGGAGCTATTGACAAGGCTAGCTAGCCTGGATGTGGGGGAATGTGACAGTGGTCTAATTTATGAGTGTAGGTGCAAGAACCAGTTTGTGGTTAGCATCTGAACAACATTGAAACCACGTTTCCCGAGGTTCAAGCCACAAGTGCAGTGGGAACTGTCTGAGGAGGCAACAGTGATTAAGGACAGGAACACTGAAGTCTGATGGTGAGCGGTGACACAAAATGCCTGTGGTGTTTTGTGGTGTTTTGTGCTATTTGTGCAAAGAGGACCATGTCTGCATCAGGAGGTGCAGTGGAGGGACACACTGCGGTCCCCTACCGGGCTGGTTTCTACGGTGACCTGAGAAAGGCCATAACAAGGTCCGGCTCTTTCTCAAGCCTAATCAGCGCATTACTACAAAGAAGGACATGTGTTCAGCCCCCCACCTCCCGATCCTCCACACTCAATCTGAGCAGCATGGCTGGACACAGGCAGCCAATAAAACCAGGATTAGAAGGCTATCTACACACACTGAGCTGTGGCAAAAAAGTTTTTGAACACGCCCAATCCCGCCTTGTTCCCTTTCAGCATTGTCTCCAGATTCTCATTCTTGCACCTTTTTCATGCTTCCATATCCTTCCTTTACCTCAACCCCTCAGAGTCTCATAATCCTTAAACACAATAGGTTGTCCAGAAATTACTAATTTTGCAGAGTCTGCTCCCAAAAGCACTTGGTTTTTTCCCATTTATTCATGTAATCCTGGGCCTTTTGCTGTGATGGTAATGAAATGCAGTCACTCTCAATGACAAAGCTACTCCATGTGTTTCACTCAGGGAATACCTGGCAGTCTGCACTTTGACTGATGCATCTTTCCATCTAAAGAATTTGTTACTATTTGATTTATGGCCCATGAAACATCTGCACAGCAAATGAATACCATTCTAATGTAATAAAGATAATTTTTAGTCTGCAGGAAGTAAAGGATGCTTACCTCCACTATCTGGAAAGCCTTATGTTTTTCAGTCCGTGATGCTTTTGCAAAGATGACGTTTGAAAATGCTTGAATAAGAAGTGAATGCATGTGCGCGGCACAGACCACAAGGAGGAGTGTGAACTGCGGGCAGCTTTGAGCTGGACACTAGGGCGGTCTAATTAAAGGGCACTTAAGCCCCACAGTGTGCAGTGGTACAGGTTGAAGTTGGTGGGGTCCCTGTCGAGAGGGACTGGATTCATTGCACTCGTAAACAAGGGGCTTCAGGACAGAGGGACACAAGGAGGGTAAGTACCAGAGACTTTGTTCACAGAAGATGAAGAGTCAACAGCTTCCCCATCCTTCACCCTCCTCAGCAGTCCCCCCTAATAAGCACCTTCTTCAGAGGAGCCACCAACACAATGCCATCCCACTCCCCTCTTCTTGCTCTCAATCACTGTTGGGACAATGAGGGAACCCCCTTCACCCGGCTGCCCCTCCCCGACCCCCAAACAGACACTTCTTTTATTGAAATTCTTTGCTGTTCTAATCCTCAGCTTCCTCCAGGACCAATAATGGACTCCCCGCATCAGCCTTTTCCAGTGAGGATGAGGATATCATCACGAGTGGCCTGGCTCCGAGTGACCGTCTCCTGTGTAGAACATGACCTGAAAGCACCATGCCTCAGTCCCATTCATAAATTCACAAATCTGTGCTACTGGCCTGTGCTGGTACAGCCTCTAATGGCATTTAGTTACTTTACAATGTTAGTTTTGACTAGATTTAATTCTTATGAGAAGACAGAACATGCATAGAAACCATGTAAAATCCACAAATGTTAGTGTTAATATTAAATCATATTTCAAGGTGTCAGAGTATTCACATCAGAATGTTTATAGTGACACCTGCTGGTTATAAACATATACTGTGTAGGATAAAACTTAGCTTGTTTTTTTACATCAGATACTTACAACACTTGAATAACATGATTGTAATTATAGCATTTTAGATTCTTGTAAACTGCACCAAGTAACTTGACGTGGGATGTTCCAAATTCACCCTCACGTTTATATTAAGACAAGTACCACAGGCCTTTCTTATCTGAATAAATGTATAATTAACCATTATTTGATAAAAATACAAACAGTTATATATGTATTTATTATTGTCCTAAGGACAGTGATGATGAGGCTAAAAAATTATGTTTTATAGAACGTTTCAGGAAAAGAAAAAACACATCTACATAAAGATAGTGAAAAGTTACATGGTGCAGCTTTAATGGCTGGTGGATTGATAGGAAAGTGATGTTGGACAGTTGGACTCTGTCCTGAGGTACCGTTTAGTCATGTTTTGCTTTTGTTCAGAGTCAGTAATGATCTCATAACACTGTTATCATGGTTTAGACTTACAGCGCTCAGCGACCCCATGTCTTCAGGCCAGTGTTCACACGAGACACTTGACTATGACCCAGCTGAACCTGTTTGATGCCACCCTTTGAAACCTTCGGTGTCATGTGTCATATTCATACACAGGACCCTCCAGGCCTGAGCTACAGTTGCATCAGAGCTCTTCTTTGACATGAGGCCAACGTGACGCTGACTGAAGTCATTCTGACTTGTTCATCGAGATCTCAGCTCTGCCCTGTGCATTCTGTAACGTGACCTTGGGCAAGACACCTCACTCGCTTTGCTGAAGTGTGTAGTTGTGTGATTGGTGCCTGAAGAGGGCGTTTCTCTTACTTTCACAGGACTGTTGTACTTTTGTTGAAGAAAAGGAACAGAGAAAACTAAATGATATTATATGATGAACTTGAACGTCATTTCATTGACATTAGTTATGCATCATAATGATCCTTTTATTAACAATCATTGCTGATTTTTTCCATCCCTCTTTTGTCATTCTGTTTGATTGAGAGCAGTGTTGCTCTGCAGCTGGTGTGGGTTGGATCTTTTAATGATTTACCACAGGTCTTTAATTGAGGCTTTATTTGCAAAAATCAGGGCTGGCTGTGTTTGACAATTAAAAAAAAAAATGCCAATGCATGTAACGGAGAATGTAATGAAAGAGTAGCCTAACCCTAACAAAGCACTTTAGATTAGCCTTACCAATAACGGCTTTTCCTATTAGTAAGGAGTGACTTTTTTCTCCCAACACTAGAGTAGTTTACAGTAAGAGTAATTTACAAACAGAAATGTTTGCAAGTTAAACATTTAGACAATGAAATTAAAAGGAAGACATCATGCTATTGTGAGTATATGTGGCATACATCCTTCCAAAATGCACAGGGCTCATGACATTTGTTTAACATCCATGAGAACCACGCACTTTTCCCCTTATGTGGAGGGGGCGTAGCTGCACGCTTTCAACGCATCACAGACTAATTGGCCAGTGCTGGTCACGTGATCAGAAGTTGTCCAACAGCCGCCAATCGTATTGAGTTGGGAAGACATGGCGTTAAATGCTAGAAAGATCATCTCTAATACTTTCTTGTAGCCATGTTTTGACTGTTTTCTGTTGTTGGAAACATAGCCATAGGTTGCTCATCATCTTTGATTAGCCGTCTTCTTTGTAAAAAACTAAAACAGTGGGACTAAAAAAGCTCTCAATCAAGATGATAAATAACAACATTATAAATAGGTGTAAATATATAGATAAACATTTTGATAATATTTCTGATCTGAGCTGAGATATAGAACAATCATGACAATTGCGTAAGAGAAAAGTATTTTATTTGATAAAATAAATATATATTTTGTTATCATATCAGTCAAGGAAATTTTATTTATGAAGCACCATTCATGCAGAAGCAATACAGGCTGTGTTAGGCACAGAAATAACATTGGGAAACAATAAAACATTTTGCGGAATAAAAACATACATAGAATGTAATAAAATAAAGAAAATGTATACACATATATACATACAGACATATGACTTATTGTTGTGGCAACACTGGTAGTTTATTATTATCTTCAGATTTATGGAAAAACGAAATGTACAGATATGTGTCAATCTCTTACGTTTTTATTTGTCTCCATTCCAATCCGCGTCCCTGAGGCTTCCAAAAGCCACAGCCAAGACTAAAGTTGAGTAACTAAAGTTTTCTCATCGTCCTATTATTCCTTGTATTATGACATTCACAAGATGGCCTCCTCTGATCCCCCAGACCCAGAGCCATGTGTCCTCTAGCCTGCGGCAGACTGTGTCGGGGAAAAACAGCGCGGACCGTAAAGCAGTGACGTAACATCATAATGAGCAGTGCTGTGTTGTCACCAGCTGGAGCTCTCTCACAGCACGAAGCTAGCGTGGATCTCAAATAAAATTCCTAGTGATTAAAAAAAATGATCATGGCGTAAAAACACAACACTCAAGTCGAAAGCGCGATGAGAAAATCGCTGGATCCACGTCGGAGTTGAAGCGATTGGTTTGAGTGAAGGCATCGACCCCCAAGTGCCAAAACAGAGGAGTTTGGGCTGATCTGGAAGCAGTAAGTCCTTTGACAGCATAATAATAATTCCTCTAGTGTACTTTGTGTCTTAGCACAGCACGTGTAGCTCTTTTATAAGTGCTGTTGTTGCACATGTGAAGCAGTCAACGACCCAGTTGTTTACTTCTGTCAGTCAGTCCATGTTGACACAGATAAGATAGCTCTTCTCCATTTATAGTAGCGTATTGCTCAAAGGCAAAGGTTAGCCAGCTGGGTTATTTCATCTGAATTCCAAATGAATCCGATTCAATTCATACATTATTTACCTTTTCATTGGCCTTTTACATACATCTTTAATCAAAAACCTACACAACCATGCAACAATCTGACTGCTATGACATGTTAGGCAACCCCTTGTTGAGAGCTTAATGAGATATAATGAGCATATATGTATATATATGACATTGCAATAAAGGCTTAATGTTAATTATCAAAGCTGAGGTACCTAACTTTTACTTTTTTATAAATAATACAAATCTGTGAAGTAAATTATATTGAACAAATCAGACCACAGCAGGCTCTCTACATCGTATTAGAAAACATTGTCATTCCATGTAAGAAAGATCCCTGTGAGTCACTATTTGAGCGAGGATAGTCCTCTCTTTTTCACTTTTCTGTCTGAAAAAGTTAATCCTAAAATGTGACAGAGGCCAAAAGCACATGCATGTGAAAACTAGTGATATCACAACATTGTGTTTTAGAAACTAGTTACTTTTTTTGCTTTGAAAGTTCTGCATCCCAAGTCACTGAGAATAGAATATGTATTTAACTTTTCATTTCCCTTTCACAATGTTTGTTTAGATATGCACAATTTAATTCAATAAGAGACGTGTTTGCTCCTTCCTGTGCACATGTATTTACTGACTTTCAATAAATCGTCTTTTGATTAAAAATTGAGAGCGATCAATTTGAGAAAAACAGTGGTAATTCCTCTGATTGTCCAGCCCTAACTCCATCCAAACACATGCATTTCTTTCTCCAGACATCAGCCGCAGTCATGAACGTGGGCACCGCACACAGCGAGGTGAACCCCAACACCCGGGTCATGAACAGCCGGGGCATCTGGCTCTCTTACATCCTGGGCATCGGCCTCCTGCATGTGATTCTGCTCAGCATTCCCTTCGCCTCGGTCCCTGTTGTCTGGACACTTACAAACCTCATTCACAATCTGGTCAGTACTTCAAAACACAACCTTATGTTTATTTAGTTTAGCGTTAGTTTAAAAGATAATCATATACTGTTGTAATGATTATTGAATTGTCTAATGTTTGTTTCAGTGTATGTACCTCCTGCTCCACACAGTCAAAGGGACTCCATTTGAGACCCCAGACCAGGGCAAGGCCAGACTCCTCACACACTGGGAGCAGATGGACTATGGTGTGCAGTTCACGGCTTCAAGAAAGTTCCTCACGATCACACCTATCGTTTTGTAAGTCTGCATTTCAGTTTAGCATCTTATTATTATTATCTATTAAATGTTTAGTCTTACTATTGACCAGACTCTTCAAAGGCCTGTATCCTATTTTTTCAGACTTAAATCCAATGTTCAGAAGTGCAAGCTAATTCTTCACTTTTAAACTTAAACGAAATTGCTCAAATGAATCATGATTAGAAATGACCTTCTGAAAGCACACTTTTGACTGGCGGGCTTCTGAGTTACTGCCTCTGTCTGCAGTTCTATAAGAGCAGAGTTGATTTGTAGTTGAAATGCAAGAATCCTTTACTGTTTTGCAGTGCGGCCTCGAATGGTCTCTGAGGACTGTTGAATAATGCTCCAATGTCCATTTACCTGTAATTAGAGTGCTTAGTCAATCTGTGAGATTGTGCAGGGGCTTAGGGCTGGCTGTTGCACCCCTCGCTGTTTCCTTGCCCTTTTCTGTCCTTATTAGTGCTATTTACAGGCTGCACTTCAGATCCCTGGGGTTCTGCTGCCAGCTCCGGCTGAACATTGTGGCAATAGCACTTTTGCTGGTGTATATTTTTGTTCTCACTAGTTTCAAGTTTGTTTCTTCTGCACCATCTGCGTAGGGACCAGTCGGAGAGAATGGTGCATTTGATGAAACAGGAGCTGAATACATGAACGCCTGTGTCCTTTTGTCTTTCACATGGAGGCAGCAGGATTCAGGCTTTCCTCCTGGTTCTGTTCTCATGTATCTCTGGTACAGTTGGAGTTCAGTGGGTTGTCTGTAATGAAGGACTGTAATGAAGGAAGGTTATTCAGCCGAGTTAATTCACTCTCCCGGCTTCATTCATTACTTATCTCATGTTGTAACTCTGTAACGTGTCCCGTGAACAGCCTCCAAATTCACTGACAGCTTTTAAGACAAACTAATGTGCGGCGATAAACCAGAGGTTTTCATTCTTTGGCTTCTGTCAATATTTGAGGCTTCAAAATATGTCTTTTTCACAGAGAATAAGTACATGTTTCCAAAGTACATTTCCAAAACAAAGTACAGCTACACTGCAAAAAGTGATGAAAAATAAGTCGGAAAAAAATGCTCAAATTTGGGAACATGTATCTCAATTTTAGCACAACCTGACAATGCAACGGTTCTTAAAACAAAACAAAATTGCTTTTCCAGTCGGCAAATATTGTTATGACGTCATCTATTAACTTATTTGTTTTTGTATTTTTTTTTAGATATATCCTCACCAGCTTCTACACCAAATATGACCAGGCTCATTTTGTGGTCAACACGGTGTCCTTGCTCACTGTTCTCATCCCCAAATTGCCTCAGCTGCACGGAGTGAGGATCTTTGGAATCAACAAGTACTGAGGGGCGCTGGGCTGCAGTGGACACTCTGTAAAGGTCCAGGTGCGGAGGCTGTGGGCCGGGCCGTCTAGACAAAGCCTCTGGGGGAAAATGCCGCGGTGCTGGAGCCGAGCATCACACTTCTGGGAGTCGCAAAAGGGAGCGTGTACTGAGTGTAGTGCATCTATTAGTCGTAGAGTCACTTAAAAAGGGAGTGTTTGCAAATGTACGTCTCTGTGGAGGGGGAGAGGGTGTCTCTGTGGAGGGGGAGTGGGTGTCTCTGTGGAGGGGGAGTGGGTGTCTCTGTGGAGGGGGAGTGGGTGTCTCTGTGGAGGGGGAGTGGGTGTCTCTGTGGAGGGGGAGAGGGTGTCTCTGTGGAGGGGGAGTGGGTGTCTCTGTAGAGGGGGATAGGGTGTCTCTCTGTAGAGGGGGAGAGGGTGTCTCTGTAGAGGGGGATAGGGTGTCTCTGTAGAGGGGGAGAGGGTGTCTCTGTAGAGGGGGAGAGGGTGTCTCTGTAGAGGGGGAGAGGGTGTCTCTGTAGAGGGGGAGAGGGTGTCTCTGTGGAGGGGGAGAGGGTGTCTCTGTAGAGGGGGAGTGGGTGTCTCTGTAGAGGGGGAGAGGGTGTCTCTGTGGAGGGGGAGAGGGTGTCTCTGTAGAGGGGGAGTGGGTGTCTCTGTAGAGGAGGAGAGGGTGTCTCTGTAGAGGGGGATAGGGTGTCTCTGTAGAGGGGGAGAGGGTGTCTCTGTAGAGGGGGAGAGATTACCCTTCGTGTGCACAAAAACATGTGCCATTTTAGTTCGCAGGCACAACAACAGAAGCTATTTTATATGTAATTATAAGGTGCTGTATTTATTCAGCTTTACTTTTACATGAATCCTTCTCTTTTCCAGAGATTTTTAGTCTTGAGCTGGAGCTGAACAATAGAAATAGCAAGGCTCCTGAACTGCAGCCGAAGCAGACACAAGAAACCACACGGTTTTAAATTTAGCACTCACTGGGAAGCCAAGTCTCTTTTAACTGACCGTGCCCATATTTGTAACTCTTCTGTCCTGGATTTCACATCATATAACGCTTGTCTTAGAAAGTGAGTGTTGCAGATGTAAGTGACTTATGACACTAATGTTGAGACTGGAGAAAGAGGCACTTCTAAGCTCTCAGGACATGGGGACAATGGTACAACTGTCAGAAGTGTTATTCAGGGTCTACAGAAACACAGAAACAGAAACACGGACATTGCCAATCATGATGTACATTCATTTACAAACAGATGTGTTCAAATGCCTTTGGAGACATTTCCCTGCTTTAACTCTTACAGTGCTGACTAAGTATTCCTGTGTGCTAAAAAGTGCTAACTTTAGATGTGTACAGAATGATTCTGGTGTTTGCTCACATCCATAGAGAGAGAGTGTTTAAGTAATGCATGCCTCTTTTCAATATTACCTAGTGACTCATGTCCGCTTTATTTGTATCCATGCATCATGTAACTCTAATAGCTATCATGTTATTTAGTAAGAACTATACCAGTATAAGTAAATACAACTTGTTGCAGCGCAGTTTTTGTTTTAGTGCAACATATTTATGTTTACTCTTTAACGAAGGGTACGATGTATTCTGAGCTCTTAGCCTGAATTATAACCAGTATTGGTCATTCTCAGTATATATTTCAGAACCTCCAGAATTCTCACCCTGAGCTGTGATTGATGGTTTGATGATGGTGCGTGTTTTGGGGTTTAAGTATTGACCAGATCAGAGAAGCCTTTTTGTTTTTTAGTCTTGAAACCTGGCAAGACTTGTGTTTAAGTCATTGTGATCGAATTAGCGCCTTGACAACACAAAGACCATGGTGTCCAATGTTTTAGTGTAAATAATTTATCAGAATTACAATTGGTATTCCTTCATCACTGAACATTCATTACAGTAATGTTATGTACACTTGATCTTGAAAATGCCCTCGTTTTAATTACCAGGTCGTGGCTGATCATTTAACTAGCCATTAAACTTCTTATGTATTGGCATTGAAGCACTTTTGTTATTTATCCTTTCAAGCTCTAAAAAGTGAGTTATTTTAGTTTTTGGTCAATATTCTGACTTTATGTTCACTTCCTTTTCAGAGCTCCATTTGAATCCATGTAGCATAAACGGATCATGTATTTGTTGAAAGAATCCCATGTGATGTTGTAAAATGTGACAATGTACTGATGATTGTCGACTGGTTTTGTGAAGGAAAAGTGTGATCTTGTGTCAAAATGCTTGATCTCAAAAACAAATACAGTATTTTTCAACTATAATCTGCTTTGTACGTTTCTAAATGTCTCCAGTTATGTAGCTCAGGTCAACGGTCAAGTTGTGTTTAGATCGAGGGATTTAAATGAGGCCAATAGATTAGCCGATAAATCCTTTTTCTGGATAATTTGTGGTTTATCAAATCTAATAAGTAACATGTGAATTGAGGACAGTTTTATGGACCTTTTATTTCATCAGAAAAGTCCCACTGAGTTTTCAGAATCTCTTTTTCAGGGGAGTCCTGGTCCCAGAGAGAGAGGAACTGTTGTATGTTTTTAGTGGGAGTGGAAACCCGAAGCAACCGGAGGAAACCTTTTCAGACACGGGGAGAAAATGCAAACTCCGCTTAGACAAACAACAGTGCTAACAACTCTGCCACTGTGGTTATTTTTTGTGGTTTCAAAGTTAGTCCAGCTTTAATATCAAATTATTCCTATTCAACTGCTTCTGTTTTTGCAGAATTGGACTATAATAAGATCCTTTATTCGTCCCACAGTGGGGAAATGTCAGTGTTGCATCACAAGTTACAGGACAGTAGGACCAAGGATTACACAGCACATGATAAATGAATAACGCAAAAATAAAATAATATAAAATCAAATCTCTAATTCTAGCGTAAAAAGTAGCAGTATAAAAATGTCTGTCTTTAGCATGATAAGGAAAGACGAATACTTGAAATACTATAGTTGTTGAATTACTGCCACTACATGTCAAAGGTGTGTGTGTGTGTTTAACAGCTTCACTATTCAGTTCATTGTATTTGGATTATTTTTAGGTAAGGAACTGAACAGTTGTTGCACATTTCAGAGTTGTCCACTCGATGGCAGCAAACCGTCGTCTTTGGCTCCATTGTGATTTCTGATGCTCTGAGGGGAACATTTATGTCCCGTGTGTTTTCATGTTGGAACTCTTCTTAGTTTTTACCAAATTGCGTTTTTCGACTTAGTCTAAAGAAAAGAATACTGTTTGTTGATGTGGCATTCTTAAAACATTTAAGTACATGTCATAATTTCTTCTGCTCAGTGCTCTCATTCTCACACACATTTGCATGAAGTTTGCGTATACCACTGCAGGCGGTTCTCAGCTGTCAGGTTTTGAAACAAGTGGGCTTTATATTTAGGCCCGAGCCCCGAACGGGGTAAGGGCCTATTGCTTTCACAATGGTGAAAACAAATGGTGGCGGTGCGTGACGGACGCGTCAGCGCCCGTCACTCACCAAAACGTGACGGTTGCATGCGTAAACTCAAAAGCTTTAAAATGATGTATCACATGCCATTGAAACCTATATTGTTTTTGCTCGAGACGTTAACAAAAAAATTCCTTTTTTAGGCCCGAGCCCCGAACGGGGTAAGGGCCTATTGCTTTCACAATGGTGAAAACAAATGGTGGCGGTGCGTGACGGACGCGTCAGCGCCCGTCACTCACCAAAACGTGACGGTTGCGTGCGTAAACTCAAAAGCTTTAAAATTATGTATCATGTGCCATTGAAACCTATATTGTTTTTGCTCAAGACGTCGAAAAAAAAATTCCTTTTTTATTTAGGCCCGAGCCCCGAACGGGGTAAGGGCCTATTGCTTTCACAATGGTGAAAACAAATGGTGGCGGTGCGTGACGGACGCGTCAGCGCCCGTCACTCACCAAAATGTGGCGGTTGCGTGCGTAAACTCAAACGCTTTAAAATGATGTATCACATGCCATTGAAACCTATATTGTTTTTGCTCGAGACGTTAAAAAAAAAATTCCTTTTTTATTTATTAGGCCCGAGCCCCGAACGGGGAAAGGGCCTATTGTTTTTGCTCGAGAGATGTCAAATTCTGCACTTTGAGCCTTTATTTCACCCCCTGAACATGCATGAAAAGTTGTAAAATTTTGACCAAACATCAGACCTGGTGAAAAATTTGATATTTTGGTGTTTATTTTTATGGGACTCAAAAAATGCCAGAACAGCGCCACCTACAACAGCCAATGGGAGTTTCAGAGGTCAAGTTTGTCGTAGAGCCATGAAATTCGGTACACATGTTCCTCAAGTCAAGATACGACCGAAATGTTATCATGGCTCCGCCCTCTGACAAACAGGAGGCCCATAAATTTCACTGCAAAATGGAAAAATGAACAGCAAAAGTTTTCATACATGTCGGTTGGAAAGCGACTCCTCCTCGGCCGTTTCACCGATTGGCCTCCATATCACTCCACATTGTCTAAACACATGTACCATCAAAATGACCTCAGGGATTTTTGATCAGTGAAACGTTGTTTGAGCAGCGGAGCGGCAAAATGTGAGTGTTTATTGGCCGTTTTTCACAACCTTCTATTTGCTCCCGTTTACACATACAAATTCCGATTTGCACAAAACTTGAATCCATGGTTCAACTCTAGGGTCTAGGTCATTTGAAAGTGAAATAATTGAACTTGGCTCATTAACGCCCCCTACAGACTATTTCAGAGTTTTTAGTATGAAAAACTCTGAAAACTTTGACTCCATCTGTAGGGGCACTAATGAGCCAAGTTCTTTTATTTCACTTTTAATTGACCTAGACCCTAGAGTTAAACAATGTATTAAAGTTTTGTGCAAATCAGACTTTGTATGTGCAAACGGGAGCAAATTTAATATTGTCCAAAACGGCCAAAAAAGGTCACAATTTGCAGCTCCCCTGTTCAAACAACGTTTCACTGATGAAAAATCGCCGAAGTCATTTTCAAGGTACATGTGTTGAGATGATGTGGAGCGATTTTGAGGCGAATCGGTGAAACGGCCGAGGAGGAGTCGCTTTCCAACCGACATGTATGAAAATGATTGCTGTTCATTTTTCCATTTTGCAGTGAAATTTATGGGCTTCCTGTATGTCAGAGGGCGGGGCCATAATAACATTTTTTTCATGTCTTGACTTGAGGAACATGTGTACCGAATTTCATGGCTCTACGACAAACTTGACCTCCGAAAAATCCCATGGGGGTTATTATTAGGCCCGAGCCCCGAACGGGGAAAGGGCCTATTGTTTTTGCTCGAGAGATGTCAAATTCTGCACTTTGAGCCTTTATTTCACCCCCTGAACATGCATGAAAAGTTGTAAAATTTTGACCAAACATCAGACCTGGTGAAAAATTTGATATTTTGGTGTTTATTTTTATGGGACTCAAAAAATGCCAGAACAGCGCCACCTACAACAGCCAATGGGAGTTTCAGAGGTCAAGTTTGTCGTAGAGCCATGAAATTCGGTACACATGTTCCTCAAGTCAAGATACGACCGAAATGTTACCATGGCTCCGCCCTCTGACAAACAGGAGGCCCATAAATTTCACTGCAAAATGGAAAAATGAACAGCAAAAGTTTTCATACATGTCGGTTGGAAAGCGACTCCTCCTCGGCCGTTTCACCGATTGGCCTCCATATCACTCCACATTGTCTAAACACATGTACCATCAAAATGACCTCAGGGATTTTTGATCAGTGAAACGTTGTTTGAGCAGCGGAGCGGCAAAATGTGAGTGTTTATTGGCCGT